TGATCATCAAGGTTTATTTTTTTAGAATCTTATAAATTTTGAATGACTTACATGAAGTATTTGTTCTTTTGTGGTGATGATCAATTATGGACCAATCCAAATAATTTTTGAATTTCGATGTGTTATAAACGAAATGACAAAGTTCACAGTTTCGATGTGATTATGGGTAAAAAGTAGTATTATCATTATGTCGACTGAAGAATTTTGAATACTTTAAGAAATTTATAACTTTTAATTAAAAAAATATATATACATTTCGGAATGAGTCAGATTCATAAACTTCTAGGTATAATAGGACAAAATCATCATCATTATTAATAACATACATTTGGTAAGAAATAACAAAAAAACATTTTAATTAAAATTTATTGTACCGCAAAAATTATCAGATACCAACAGTATCAAAAGTTGATCGTATAAAACCATGACCTCATGATTAAAGAAATACAATTTTTAATTTAAAATTAACTCACCTATAGACAATTTATATATTTTCATTTCTTAAACGAGTAAAATGATTTAATCATTTTCTTTTATTATTAATTTAAAATTAATAAAGAAATAAATCAAATATTTAAACAAATAAGGAATATGATTAGACCACAAGTACCTAAAGCAAAATAAAATATTTTGACGCTTTTTTTTTTTGTATGAATCCAAAACAATAAATAAAACAAATCTTATCGGTGGACAAAAAAAAATTTTTTTTTTTCTTTCAAGTGTAAAATAGTGATTTCTGTATCTGTTTAAAAAATATATTGATTATCACTTTGAACAATTTGTCTGTCTCAAAAACCTTTATCAATATTTGTATTTTTGGGAAATACTTTGTTTTGTACTCGTTTACGGTAGTGTAATATAGCACCTGTTATAATTTATTAAATATATAGTAAATAAATATTTATATTCATTAATTAATCTTTTTTTTTTTTTTTTGAAACAAATTGTAAACTTTTTTGCACGTGTTACCATGTTGGTAAATATTTGCAGAAATATATAAACTTTTGTTTTCCTAAAAGATGTTTTCTTACGCAAAAATTTTATCTAATTCAAATAACTTTGTACAATTTATATTTTAAATGACTCAATTCTAAAATATTGTTATTTTACCACTTTTTTCGATAATATGTATGTACATATTATCAATTTTTTTGGTATTAGATAACATTTTTTTAAATAATAAAACATAAATTAACTATTAGTCATAATCATTTGATACGTTACAATTATAAATTACTTTCTCCAACTGTCCAGTTAGTAACCTTAAACTTGAAAGTAATAAATACACAAGTAATACTATTATATTCAGCAATATCTAATCATAAAAACCCACCATTCTAACATTTTGTAACGATCCTTTTGGAAGTTAGTTAAAAAGTTATTAAAACCATTTACTAATTTATTGGTTAAGCTCTAATATCAGGGTATTTTGGAAGGGATTTAGCAATCGTAATAAAAATTAGTTTTGTTTACCCAGAGCCTCGGACCGCAAATAAGCCTCCGCCATATAAGGTACCCTTTAGGATATAACTTTAACACTCATAACTGGCGTAAAACATAATACAAAGTAGTATAGAGATGCAATTCGATAAAAGCAAGTTTTATAGAATCAACAATTACTCTACTAAATTTTTTGAAGATCGGTCAATAATTGAACCAAACCTCCAATACACTACTCGCTTCCCTTTTCCTTTCAGAAAATTACTTTGTCTCATACATTCTGGCTTAAAAATAAATGCATAGTGATTAAATTCATCAAAAAGAAGTTCTATAGAAACCAAAATCTCTCCACCATATTTTATGAGTACGGTCCATAATTGACCCTATTCCTCTATAAAGAGCTCTTCTGACATGATTATTATAGCGACGAAATTGAACATAAACAAGTTTTGTAAGATTTAATATCGCAATGGCTAATTTTCTGATAATCGATCCATATGTGATCCTATCCCCAATATAGGCACCTGTGATCCTATCCCCCATATAGGGACCTTATATATACTTATATAGAAAATTACTTTAACGCTCATAGAAGACTAAATAATATCAGTACATCGATGAAATTCGAACTAAACTAGTTTTTATTAAAATATGTCCATAATGGATCCAACCCTCCATATAAGGTCGCCTTCAAAAATTACATTAAATGTCATATTTTGCAGCTTAAATTGGTTCCCTTCAGAAAATGACTTTAGCGATACCCGTATGACTACAAATAAAACATATAATAAAATATCTCTACCAAATTGTACGATGATCAGTCCATAATTTTCCCTTATATGGGGTTATAAGATCCCATATAGAACTTTAAGTGACTTTTAGGCTCATAACTGGCTTAAAAGACAAGTATGGCGATAAAATTCCACAAGCCACAATCTTTTGATCAAGTTTTGCACGGATCAGACCATAATTTAACCTATCCTCATATAAGGTCCGTAGACGCAAAAAATTCTTTCAAAAATTATGAAGCTAAAACAAGTAAGAGTGTTATATTCGGTTATGCGGTTATCTTATATACCCACCATCAAATCGTATGCCTTAAAAGAAATACTCCTCTGTAAGCATCAGGGAAATCAGGCTTAAAAACAAAATATTTTTGTCCAATTTTTTAACTATGAACATATATGGGAGGTAGGGTCAATTATGGACTATTTGTCGTAAACTTTGGTAGAAAGATTTCGAGTTTTATAACACTTATAGCGAAAAAGAAGTAGAATTTACTCCATGGAAGTACTGAAAAATACTTAAAGAAGTGATTATTTTAACACAGGCTTGTCATAGGAGGGATGTCCTTTTTATTTGATTCCTAATTCACTACTTCTGAAGTCATTCTCAAGAAGTAATTTTAATGCTCTTTTTTTAATTTATTCGTAAGTGAAATTGTCTTAAATAATATTAACATTAATTAGGGTAATAGAAACATTTAATACAAAAGTCCAAATATAACATTTTTTATCTCACAAAAATATCTTCAACATTGAAAAAAAAATAATTATTTTCGCTTCTTCGAAAGTCATTAAACATCACTTCCTCAGAAGGTAAAAGACTTCAATTAGTGCTACTTTTGAAGTGGTGATAAATGCTATTCTTTTGGAAGTACTTCGTTTTATAGACTTCTGGAGTATAGACCAATCCTCATAAAATTAGGAATAAAGAATAATAATAAAAAACTTTTTATGCCGAGTACAACGATGAAGTACTCGTAATTTTCTCATGGTGGCTTTATATATGAGGGGAAGGTTCAATTGTGGACCGATCATCATAAAATTTTGTAATGTGATTTCCAATAATATAAAACTTGTTTATGCCAAAATTTATCGTTTTTTTTTTTTTTTTTTTTTTTTTTTTTTTTTTTTTTTTTTTGAGCCAGTAATTATCGCTCAAGTAAATTTCTCAAGGGAACCTTATATGGGGATATTTTTAAGTCAGTAATGAGCATTTAAATCATTTTTTGATAGGGACCTTATGTGAGGGGTTGGTTCAATTATGGACCGATCCACATAAAATTTGGTAAAGAAATTTTGATGCATATAAAACTTAATTATGCGGAATTTCATCGCTGTACTCGTATTTTTAAGTCAGTAATGAACGATAAAGTCATTATCTGAAGGGAACCTTATATAGGGGGTAGGGTCAATTATGGACCGATCCCGATAAAATTTGGTAAAAAGATTTTGGTTTACAGCCGATTACAGCGAATGAGCGTTGAAGTCGTTTTCTGAAGGTAACCTTATATGGCGGGTAGGGTCAATTATGGACCGATTCCCATAAAATTTTGTAGAAAGATTTTGGCTTAAACAAAACTTATTTATGTTGAATTTCATCCCTATATTCGTATTTGTAAGCCGGTAATGAGTCATTTTCTGAAAGGGGACCTTATATGGGGGGTAGGGTCCATTATGGACCGATTGTATGGGTGCTATGCGAAATCGTGGACCGTTATTTCCCTATTTGCAATACCTAACAAACCTTATCTATAAGGAATATTTGTAGAAAATGTTAACTCTCTAGCTCTTTCCGTTCGAACCCTATCGTGCTTTCAACAGATAGACGGACGGACGGAGATGGCTAGATCGTCTTAGAATTTAATAAGGACCCAGAATATATGTACTTTTGCGGTTCTACGACTAATATTTCAATGTGTTACAATCGGAGTGACAAAATCAATATACTCCCCATCTTTTTTGATAAATTGTTATGAATAAGTTTGTCAACACCAGTCTTGTTTTTAGAAGAGATCTTTCCATGAGGACTTAAATCAATATTATTTTCTTAGAAAATATAATATAAGTTCAATCCTATAATAATACAGTTGTTCTGAAACGATTTCTTTTGGCACTAACCGATTTTCTGGAAGAGTTTTATACCGGGACAATTGTCATATATTGCTCGTTTTAAAGAGAAAGTGATAAAGAAATTTAAGTTATTATTAATGTTTATTTTCATGGCGAAGATAATTATAAGTCAATTATGAATGTTGAAGTCAATTTCAGATTTCCAAATATTGCCCATTTTTAAAACCAAACAAACCTTATCAATGTTAGTGAAATATTTCAAGTTGCACCTACTGCATATTTAGTTTCAAAAACTAAAATCTTGATAAGATTTTAAGCATTTCCAAGTAACATTGATTTAAACGATTAAAAGTAGCGGTCAATTTTCAATGGACTTTATTTTGAAAGCATGCACAATTTGTGATAATATAAAGACTTTGATCTGTTCAAAATTTTGTCAAAGATTTATAGTACACATATGTTCATTAGTCAGCCTGATAGCAAAATAAATATTCATTCTCGATTATTTTTGCTAAATTATAAAAAAATGCAATAATAAACCTACAAGACCTATGTGGAAATTGAAATTTTGCTAGTTATAGGAATTTATCATATTTACTTTCTATATACAGGAAATTTTTTATCCAAAATTTTACCTTTATTGATTGCACAAATTATTGTTTAAATTAGTAAATAATTTGATTATTTTTTATGGCTTTATTACAGGGTGAATATGTATGGGTGAAACCCCAACCCCAGCAAATAAATGAAATCGAATTTGCGGTACCTTTTGGGGCTCGTATAGTGCGCACCGATAAGACGCGAACTTTGATTTGTGACGATGACAACAAACAGTATTGGGTGGATAATAATGACATTGTCAAGGCCATGCATTTGACATCACAAACGGGCGTCGAAGATATGATAACACTTGGTGATCTGCAGGAATATACAATATTAAGGAATCTAGAGATAAGATATCGTGAGAAAAAGATTTATGTAAGTATAAGAAAGATGTAGATAAAAAACAAGACATGGTCAAGCATTTTTCCCTTGATGACTTTTAAACCTAACCTAACCTATGTCAAAATTATATATTTCTTTTAGACCTATACCGGTTCCATGTTAGTGGCCGTTAATCCCTACCAAGTCTTACCCATCTACACGAATAAAGAAATAACCGAATATCGGGGCAAGAAAATCAATGACTTACCGCCACATATCTTTGCCATTAGTGACAATGCTTTCCAGGAGATGAATCGCGATAAAGCCAATCAATGTATAGTTATAAGTGGAGAATCTGGGGCTGGTAAAACAGAAAGTACAAAACTGATACTACAATATTTGGCAGCGATAAGTGGTAAACATTCTTGGATTGAACAACAGATTATCGAGGCTAATCCCATAATGGAAGCCTTTGGTAATGCCAAAACTGTACGCAATGACAATTCCTCACGTTTTGGCAAATACATAGATATACGTTTCACCGAGGCGGGCAATATACAGGGTTCAAAAATAGAGCAATATCTGCTGGAGAAATCACGTATTGTTTCGCAAAGTCAAGATGAAAGAAATTATCATATATTCTATTGCATGTTGGCGGGTCTATCTGCAGAAGAGAGAAAACGTTTGGAACTTACCGAAACCTCACCCACCAAATATCACTATTTAGCTCAAGGAGGTTGCACTACACTTAAGGGGAAAAACGACATGAAAGATTTTGCTGACATAAGATCGGCCATGCAGGTTCTTTCCTTTAAACCGGAAGAAGTTTGGAATATTTTCACCATGCTGGCGGCCATTTTACATTTGGGAAACTTACATTTTAAAGCAACAGAAGTACAAAATATGGAAGCTGCTGAGGTCAATGATAACACTAATGCTAATAGAATATCTTCCTTATTGGGCGTAACAAAAGAGGCCTTATGTACCGCTTTAGTACAAAAGACCATTTTGGTGCACGGTGAACATGTTGTGACGCCCCTCTCCAAAGAATCGGCTTTAGAAGGCAGAGATGCTTTTGTCAAGTCTCTATATGGCAGCATATTTGTCAGGATAGTTCAGCGTATAAATGAAACAATAGACAAGGATCCGGGTAAAACTATGAATTCTATAGGAGTTTTGGATATATTTGGTTTTGAAAATTTCACCGACAATAGTTTTGAACAATTGTGCATAAACTATGCCAATGAAAACTTGCAACAATTCTTTGTGAAACATATATTCAAGGTAAATTTTAAAAAAAATTTTATTTAAAAAAAATAATTCTCAAAAGTTGCTCTGGAATTTATCTCTAATCAATAATTGTCCCTACTCTTCTCCCTTTCCAGATGGAACAACAAGAATATCAAAATGAAAACATCAACTGGCAGCATATTGAGTTCCAAGACAATCAAGAAATACTCGATTTAATTGGCATGAAATCGGTTAACATTATGTCTCTCATCGATGAAGAATCTAAATTCCCCAAAGGTTCCGATCAAACCCTGCTCGAAAAACTTCATGTACAACATGGCACACGTTCGATTTATGTTAAACCTAAATCTTCGCAGGATTCTAAATTCGGTATACGTCATTATGCTGGCATAGTTATGTATAATCCTCATGGTTTTCTCGAAAAGAATCGTGATTCGTTTAGCATGGATTTGGGTGATATGATACAGAAGTCAAAGAATAAATTTTTGAAGGATATTTTCCCTCAGACTCCCAAACATGATACGATGAAAAAACAGTTGACTTTATCGGTGAAATTTCGTAATTCTTTGGATTTATTGATGAAAACTTTGGCGGCGGCTCATCCGTTTTTCATTAGATGCATTAAGCCGAATGAGAATAAGCAGGCAAATGTAAGTATTATTATAGATAAAAATAAGTTTTGTAATTTTATATATGAATTTAAAGGGCATTAAGCAAATTTATAATATAGAATAGCTACACTGAATTTATGATTGCGAGAATAATCCGAGAATTAAATCTCAAGACTCCTAATAATAATGATGAAATTTCTTCTCAACTACATTAACTCTCCGGAGTTACCATTAACTGAATATTCAAAATGCTCCCATAAAGGGAGTACAGTTTCCCTTCATAATTTCGTTGACTATATGATTCCTATGGCCCCCGTGTGAACCGTCCGGTACATCTAGTAAATCTGATCATATTTGCTAGTGACACATCTCTGAGGCAGTCTAGATCATGGAAAGAAGCTCTACCAAGATATAGTAGTCTAATTGTTGTACCGATTTCTCCTCCTCATTCAAACAACTTCTACAATAAGTACAACGTCGTTAACCCATACGTCCCGACATGTGTCCAATCATACAGTGCCCAGTGATTACACCAGTACGAAGCCTAATCGAATTCTTACTATGTAAAAGAAAGAAAGGTCTAGTCTTATCCTCTGTCAGAATGGTCCAGATCCATCTGGATATTATACAAGAGATGAATATCTCAAGATCACAAGATCGTTTAGGCAAGTTTAGAATAAATATCGGCCCTGAGCTCTCTTTTATACATTCCTACATTTCTGCACTCATATATATAGAAACTGAGCACTCTTTCTTACCCTTCTGCATATGTAAACTCTACAGAGAAAATAAATTGAGAAATTAATTGTCCCCGCAGCTCTCTCTAGATTTCTCCAAACAAAGTTAAAACGTTCAAATAACTTGATTAATATTATTTGTTCATTTAAATTAACGGATTTCCAATTCTCTTAATTTCAGCAATTCGACAAAGAACTATGCATACGACAACTTCGTTACTCTGGCATGATGGAAACTGCTCGCATACGACGAGCTGGCTATCCAATACGTCACACATACAAAGAGTTCGTAGAACGTTACCGACTCCTAATGCCAAGTGTAGGCCCAATAGATAAAATCAATTGTCGTCAAGTGGCCCAGGAAATATGTAAGAACATTTTACCCGTTAAAAGTGATTATCAATTTGGCAAAACAAAAGTCTTCTTAAAAGACAACGATGATGTTTTCCTAGAAGAAGAACGTTCAGCTGTTATACTCAAATCTATAATAACCATACAAAAAGGTTTTCGTAAGATACTCTTTAAACGTTTCCTTGAGAAACATCGTAAAGCTATAGTGGTGATACAGAAAACATGGCGTGGTTATAGAGAACGTAAGAATTATGTTGTTATGCAGAGAGGATTCCATCGTTTGGCAGCCTCTATAGCTTCTAGAGATTTAACTTATCGTTTTACTCTAATGAGAACACGCATAAGACTTTTGCAAGCACACTGTAGAGGTTATTTGGTGAGAAAAGAATTTAGAGCCAAATATGCTTTACGTTTAGCTAAAGTAAGAGAATTAAGGCTCTTGAGAAGCCAAGAAGAAGAACAGTATCGTAAAGCTAAAGAACGCAATTGGAAGGAACATGCCGAAGAGAATTACCAGAAACGTTTAAGAGGTATTGATCCTTTGATTAAAACCACACCCACCACCCCAGCCGTTGTAGTTCAAACTAATGGTTATGCCAAACAGGAAGAATTCAATACAGATAATTACATTGATGTGGAATCATCGAAAAAAGTGGTCGACGATGTATTTGGTTTTCTGGATGAGGCTGATGTAAGTGGACCGGTAGGTCCGAATGTTAGAGAAAAATCTCTTATGTTTGAACAAGAATTGCGTAAAAATAAGTTTATACCCAGCAAATTGTTGTCAAGACCCGTAAATTATTATGAATCGACGGCATCGCCTGTGCCACCGCCCCGTAAATACGTGAATCAAACCCGTTTGTAAATACACACTCACACTCAAGACTAATAAATTGAAATTATTAAATTTCCCCACCTAATTTATCTCTCTCTAACTGTTTTGCATACATTTCCATTAGAAATACTTTAAAACCATTTCCTTTAACCACACCCCACCCCCACCTTATGCCACCGCATTAACCCATTCTCATTATTTATTTTACCGATTTTTTTGTTCTTTATCTAAACTCAAAAATATGTAGACGTTTAAAAGGCTAAAGTTATCATTTCATTTACGTTGCGTGACGTTCCTTTCGCCGTTATTAGTTCTAATTAATTTATTGATAAGCATTCTTTATATTTAAAATTGTACAAATATTTATTTTAATTATTACGTGAATTTTATTTAATCTTGTTATTTGTCGTTTATTTATTTTCCTAGTTGAAAATTGTTGTATATTTTTTATGTAAATAAATTTATTTTTCGTTGTCCATGACATTTCAATTATAAAGTGGTTTTTATTTATTTCCTCAAATCATACATTTTATTTGTTTCTTAAGGTACGTTTATACTGATCAAATAAATTGCGAATAATGCGTGATTTTAAAAAAACTCAGAAGATCACGCTCTAAGATTGCTTGATCTTACAAAAGTCATATGAAAAAATTGGCCTTAATTGAGGGTAACTCATATTGCGTTAAATATTTGATCCGTATAAACGAACCCTACATACTTACATGGTTTTGGGAGCATTTGGTGTGCTTGGCTCAAGTATTTGATTGGTATTTTATTGGTTAAGGAAAACATATTATATAAAATTATTAAGATAAACATAAGTTATTATATTAAGTAAACAAAGTACGATCCAATATATCGAATCTTAAGAAGATTGATAACGAAATACACGTATCGTTTTGAAAGATATTATTTGACTGGTCAGGGAATATAACATCAGGAAATATGGCTTAAATCAATTGAGGACCGGGCTCTTTTAACAAAATATTTATTTTTCCTAAAGGAAACCATCCATAGGGGCTAGGATCAGTTAAATTCAGAATGAAGAATTATGTTTCTAAACTTTTTTATACATAATAATTTATTGAATCCTACTCATCAAATTAACTGAAGATTACCTTATATAAGGTTTATTGACCGATCCTCATAACATTTTGTTGACCGATTTTGGTTCATATAAAACTTATTTACATCGAATATCATCGCTGTACGTGCATTTTTATTCCAGTAATGAGCGTTGAAGTAATTTTCTGAGGAGGGCCTTATATTGGGGGAAGGGTCAATCATATGCCGATTCTTATAAAAGTCAGTAGAAATTTACTTAAGTCGAATTTCATAGCTTTACTCGTACTTTTAAGCCAGTAATGAGCGTTAAAGTCAAGAAACTTACTTATGTCGAATTTCATCGATATACTCGTATTTTTAAGCGAGTAATGAGCGAAAAGTATTTTTCTAAAGGGGACCTTATATGGCGGGAAAGGTCAATTATGGACCGATTTCGGTAGAGAGAATTTGGCTCGGTAGAATTTTACTTGTGTCGAATTTCATCGCAATATTCACAATTTTATACCAGTAATGTGCGTTATAGTCATTTCCTGAAGTGGACCTTATATGAAAGGTAGGGTCAATTATGGACCGAACCTTATAAAATTTGGTAGAGATATTTTGGCTCATATGAAACTTATTCATGTTGAATTTCATCGGTATAAACGTACTTTTAAAACAATTATGTCCGTTAAAGCACTTTTTCTGGGGTCCACTTGTATGGGGGCTATCCGAAAACGTGGACCGATATTGTGCATTTTCAATACCAAACAAACCTTATTCATAGGAAAAATGTATGCAAAACTTCAACTGTTTAGCTCCTCTCGTATGATCCCTATCGTGATTTCAATTGACAGACGGATGGACATGGTTAGATCGAATTAGAATTTAATAAGGAATCAGAATATATATACTTTAGGTCCATGACCAATATTTCGATGTGTTACAAACGGAAAGACAAAATCAATATAATTTTTTGATGGTGGGTATAATTATAGTTGGGTATTGTCATATCATATTCTACTCCAAGGGCTTTAGAGTTAGGGTAGCACTTATGATAGACCGATCCTCATAGAATTTCTTAGAGTGTTTATAGTTGTTATATGGAAATGTTTTAAAAATGTCAGTTTATACACAAATTATTTACCTAAATTGTCATGGCGATACTCATATGTATGTTAGCAACGTTATAGTATTTTGTTTGGGGGTAGCGTTATATGGGCTTATATGGTGGGTGCTAAGATTAATATTGGACCGATCCGATTTCGCGTGTGAACAAGAAATATTCGTGTCAAATTTTATCAATATAAATATTTATTAATTACTGAGTTGTGTATATACATTTAAGTGATTTTCCGAAGTGGCACTTATGTATATGGCTTGACCAATTATGGACAGATATGGAAATATTATGGGTGTATAGAAAACAAAAAGTATGATTTCAGTATATGGCAGCTATGACGTTTGTAATACATCGAAAAAATTATCATATGTTCTATACAAGCACTGATGACCCTTGTAATGATAGGGACCCCATACAAAGTCCTCTTTAGAAAATTACTTGAATGTCCACAATTCACTTATAAATACTAATATAATCTCATTTTATACACATAACCTGTCTAAGGTATCATTGGTCTGCCACGGACCACAATACTTTCATAATTGTTAATTTGTAACTTAGTTATACCATTATAATCGATCTAGTATAGAACTGCGCTATTCTCTTAGTTGGTGTATGAATCATGTGGTCGGGCATAACCGATAATTCATTTTTTCCTTATTAGTCAAATACATAAATATTTCCATTCGCATATAAAAATATATGTAAATAGACATTAACGCACCTCTTTCATATCATATGTCAACATCTGTTTCAGACATCTGTCTGGAATTTTTTCGTATTATATTATGTTATCTATAATAGGCTTTTACGTCTATTAATGTACTTAACATTTTTTATATAGATACAGACTTTTTAAATCAAGACGTGATAATTATGAATATCATTTTAAAACATCGTTTGAAAATACTTATTAGATTTTAATGAAATTGTTAAAAATTTCATAATATAATTAAATTTCTATTATTACCAAATCCAAAAAATCAATATTTACAAATGATTAATAATAATAACAAAGTACAAATATTATTAATGAGTAATTGTTTTCGTGTACATACTTTATCAGCCAACTTTAACATGATAGTTTGAATATTTCTTTGTTTTTCTTTTCATTGTGGGCTCGAAAATCATTTCTAATCGTTAAAGTGTAATTCTAGGAATTAAGGAATAATTGTGTATGGTTTTTATGTTTAAACAGAAAAAAAGTTAATTGGATTTATTGCTATTGGGGGGAATTATTTTAATTAAAAGAAATTTGACAGTTAATTACAAATATTGGCAAATATTTAAAAAATCTTCTTTTTTAATAGATTTTGGTGAAATTTTTTACAAAATTTTTGCAAACAGAAATAAATTAGATAATTTACTTATAAAATGGTTCGGTTTGTTTAAAGTTTAATGAACAAATCAAAACAAAAACTGTCTTTGTATTGATTTTGACATTCCGTTTGTAATACATCAAACATACATATATTATGTATATATACTTATGTATATTAGGGTGGCCATTCTGAATTTCTCAAAATGGTTGTTCTGAAGTGAATATTAGGTAAACTGGGTCAAAAAATTAAAGGGAATCAGCAGCAATCAAATAAAATGTGCAAATAAAAGTACAAAAAACAAATTAATACTTCTATATCATATTACAAGAAAGCCATTACTAGACTCCTTATTAGTAATGCATACGGTATGTAGTTGACATTGAAAAGTAAGCTGTTTAGTAAGTTTATACAAGTCATAACCAGGTTTTTGCTGGATATCAATGAAAAGCTTATGAAATTTGCGTCTATTTCGATGAACTTATTCATAAACAAATTTGAATTTTATAAACGGTTTATAAAATATGATACCATACATGTCTACATTACTATACCCTTTACCTTCGTGAGAAGGGTATATCTATGTCTGTCATTCCTTTAGTAATTTCTACAACATATGTAATTTTCCAAACCTATAAAGTATACATATATATTCTAAATCCTTTTATCTAACGGAATCTATAAAGCCATATCCGTCTGTATGTCCATCCGTCCGTATGTCTGCCCTTTTGTTGACATCAATTTTCTGAAGACCCCAAATATATTCGGGATCAAAATCTTCAATAATTCTGTCAGACATGCTTTCGCAGCAAAATCCGTTCATAAATAGAGGGTATTTGAACAAAAATCTTTGCATGCTTTGACCAGAAAAGCAACAACAACATTGTTTATTGAAGGAAAAATGTATGTTTGGATGTGTGTTGGTTTTATTGCTTTGCGTATTTAGTTTTCTTAAAGTTTTGTTTTATTTGGCGTGAATTGTTGTTGTTTTTTGGTTTGTTATTGCTAAGATAATGATTTATAAAATTAATCTTTTTATATCCTTTTACCTTTTTATAAGTTTGTCATTCCGTATGTAACACCAAGAAATATTCCTCTTAAACCCAACAAAGTATATATCATATGTATATTCTGGGTCCTTACGAAATTCGTCGATTTAGCTATGTCCATCTGTATATCTGTGTAAAACACGCTCACGTTAAAACTAATCACAGGAAATCAAACAAATTAACCAAAAATATTTGTTATTGTTCTAAGCAGTTTGGTATTGAAAATCAGCAAAATCTGTTCACGAATTAAAAAGTTATAAGTAAAAATTTCAGACTACCTCGAAAAAAATTAGGTTTTTTTTCGCAATTCTTAAGTAGTTTTCTCAGAAACTACCAAAGATATTTCGTTGAATTTTGTCACACATTACTTTTTTTAGGGATCAAGTATGTTCAAAATCGTAACAATTGATCCAATATTTCCCATATCCACCATATATCCACTATAGTCTAGTCTATAGTCAAGTCTATGGTCTAGTCTATAGTCTAGTCTATAGTCTAGTCTATAGTCTAGTCTATAGTCTAGTCTATAGTCTAGTCTATAGTCTAGTCTATAGTCTAGTCTATAGTCTAGTCTATAGTCTTGTCTATAGTCTAGTCTATAGTCTAGTCTATAGTCTAGTCTATAGTCTAGTCTATAGTCTAGTCTATAGTCTAGTCTATAGTCTAGTCTATAGTCTAGTCTATAGTCTAGTCTATAGTCTAGTCTATAGTCTAGTCTATAGTCTAGTCTATAGTCTAGTCTATAGTCTAGTCTATAGTCTAGTCTATAGTCTAGTCTATAGTCTAGTCTATAGTCTAGTCTATAGTCTAGTCTATAGTCTAGTCTATAGTCTAGTCTATAGTCTAGTCTATAGTCTAGTCTATAGTCTAGTCTATAGTCTAGTCTATAGTCTAGTCTATAGTCTAGTCTATAGTCTAGTCTATAGTCTAGTCTATAGTCTAGTCTATAGTAGTCTATAGTCTAGTCTATAGTCTAGTCTATAGTCTAGTCATAGTCTAGTCTAATAGTCTAGTCTATAGTCTAGTCTATAGTCTAGTCTATAGTCTAGTCTATAGTCTAGTCTATAGTCTAGTCTATAGTCTAGTCTATAGTCTAGTCTATAGTCTAGTCTATAGTCTAGTCTATAGTCTAGTCTATAGTCTAGTCTATAGTCTAGTCTATAGTCTAGTCTATAGTCTAGTCTATAGTCTAGTCTATGTCTAGTCTAGGTAGTCTATAGTCTAGTCTATAGTCTAGTCTATAGTCTAGTCTATAGTCTAGTCTATAGTCTAGTCTATGGTCTAGTCTATAGTCTAGTCTATAGTCTAGTCTATAGTCTAGTCTATAGTCTAGTCTATAGTCTAGTCTATAGTCTAAGGAAATTCACGGAAATTAGTTTATCTTTAATAACTCCCTCAAATATCTCGGTATGAACACAAAACTTTGTACATGTAAATATGAACAGAAATCATACTATCAATGTAGATCTGTATCGGTCCACAATTGGTCATAGCCACATAAGGTCCACTACCGAAAATCACTTAAATGCACATATTTCATTGATAAATAAAGCTCTTGTGATAAAATTCGACACAAATAGGTTTTGTGTATATATAAATCATTCTACCAATTTTTTTCCGGATTAGTCCGTGATTTGCAATAACTCCCATATAAGGTCCATTTCCGAAAATCAGTTAAACGCATATATATGTTTCAATAATAGAGCTATCGACTTGAATAAATATATTCTATATGCATATCAATCATTCTACCGAATTTTTAGCCGGATCGGTCCATAATTGATCACTACTCCCGTATAAGGACTATTTTTTTACAATGTAGTTCATTAAAAATATCGACGTCGCAGTAAAACTCGACTGGAATATGGTTTGTAAATATTCAAATCATTTCTCTAAATTGTTTGGCATTGGCAAGATCGGCCCATAATAAGTCATAGCACCCGTACAAGGTTCACATCTGAAAATCACTTAATATAAATTTTTCTGGACCTAATAAAAATTAGTTCCACATATGCATAAATGTTAGTACCCTCATTACGGAACCAAACTTTTGTCGAGTTATCTAAAAATTGGATAGTAAAAAGTAGCTTGCCGGTGGAGGGTATTTAAGATTATAGCACTCTAACTTGTTTGGAACTCATTATGTTGAAGGTTATATTAGTTTAGGCAAAGGTGAATGTAGAATTCCATCATGTCTTTACAAATAATATGGACAACATCACAAAAATCTCAAAAAAGGACCTTTTCTTCCTTTGGCCCAGCTCACCAAATATTGATAAAGGGTATATCTTAGAATGAACTAGATTTCCTTTTTTGTGCGGAACATCCACAACTTCCATACCGTAATTAAATCTTCTAGCCCTCGGAGTAGTGCTCACTTACAAATATGTTAATTATGAAGTATGAATGTACAGTTAAGTACAACTAACAAAGTAGAAAGTAGGATCCACTTCGCTTAAACATTGCTTAATATGTACTTAACCGCTTAGACGTCATAATTCCACTTTTATGTTCTAAATTGTTTATACCTATTATTTACTTACCCCTTCTCATAATGATGTAATTAAAATTCATTTTCCAGGTTTTTACAAAAACTATGAACCATTTTTTTATTTTATTAATTAATTTTCTTTTTAATGAAATACTTACCTTTAAACTAATTTCCCTACTAGTTGTAGTATCTGCTCTTGCTACCAACCACTCCAACGACTTTTAATATTTAACTAAATTAAACAGTTAAAAACGCAAAAATTAAACCTCAATATTTAGTAAAATTCACTAAAATAACGCACATAAATATTAGCTTATCAATTTTTCAAATAAATAAGTCTCAAAGCTTTTTTTGTTCACATTTTTTTTAACATGTTAACTTATCATCATTCATTAATTCACACATTCATACAACAACAACAACAGAAAACACATTTGTTTATTAATAATTTATTCTACCACCCAACAGAGTATTAATTTATTTATACCTTCATTTATGGTTTCTTTTGACTTAATAATGCCTAGAAATACACAAACATTTAAACAAAATTTATTGCCTCAACTTGAATTTGTTCTTATCAGATGATTTTCAGTTCTTTTTTCTTTCAACGAAATAATTTACAATCTGTTATTAAACTACTGCTGAAATTTGAAAAAAAAATCAACAACAATAACAACAGAACACAACAGCAATCAAAAAAGAGTTGTGTATTAAATTTATGATCGCAGTAGAAAACATTTTTTATAAATTTAAAGATTATGAGCTGTCGCAGACAATTGAAATGTATTTAAATTAAATTATTTAAAAAAGGTGTAACAGAGTGTTGCCACAGGATTTCAAAATTTTTTGAAAAAGTTTTGAAATCTAAAGTCATCTTCAATTGATGTATACTTTATACTTTATATACCGATTACTTGTTCAAATATAAATTAATTTTTTACCTAATTCTAAAATAAATAATCTTTTTAACATTATTTTCCTAAAATCCCTTAGCCCTCCAAAAAGTCCATTTCAACTGGTGGCACTATACGTCTACCCAAATCAAAAGTGCCCAGCATTGATGCCTCCGAATATGGTTTTGCCAAATTTGCTGCCACCTACTTCAATTCGGGTGTAACAGGTCAATATAGTAAAAGACCCTTGAAAAAATCTTTACTCGATCATGATTTGCCTCTAGATGAAATAGCCGCTCAGGTAAGTGCGTTTGCTGTGAATCATATCCATATATTTATTATTATCTAAAGTTTTATACACTTAAGAATACTACAAAATACATTTTGATTACTAGTTTAGTATTAAGTACTTTCGACTAATATACTTCAGTTGGATTGTTTCTATTGCTATATGTAGTATATTGCTGATTTCCCGTGAATTGAAAAACTTATTACCTTTCTGTTAAGCACTAAAATGTCAGATAAGTGAATGGATTGATTGACTCACGCTCAAGTGATCGTGCGTTTTATAAGAAAGTGGGGAAAAGTTGATATTGGGGGGTTTACTTTTTAATAAATACTAGCGTACATAAAGCGGACCTAGTCGAAACTAAATAAAAAATCAGATTATAGAAATATTTATGCATATGTAAAATAAGTAGTGTTTAAAAGTGAATTGTGGACATTTCTGAAGGGATCTTTATCTGAGATCTAAGGTCAAATGAGGCCTGATCATTTCGAAACTCGGCTAGGTCACCAAAGATTGTATAAAACTTAGTGCGAAACCTTTTCATCGTAAAATGTCGTAAAATAAAGGACCGATTTCAACCATTTTCAAAAGGATTCGTCCTTGGAGCAAAAAAATGTCAATGTCCCAATTTTAATCCAATTATCTTGAAAATTACAACTCAGTAAATGATTTTAAGTCGATTGGTATACTTTAAAGTGCACAAAGCACAATCCCAATATATCCTCCCCACTAAAGTGGAAAAAATAATATAAATCGTCAAAACCAGCTGACATGTTCGTGCACCGCTTGTGACCAGCGTTGCCACTTTGGTCCAATTGGACCAAAATTGGTAGTTTCAAATCTCTGAAATGACTTTTGGTAGTTTGGTTGGTAGGTTTAAATTTTGCTCCAAATTTGGTAGGATGAGATAATTTTGATCTCATGCATATGAATTTATAAACATTTCTGACGTTGTAATGGCAAAGTACACAGAAAAAATTATCAGTAGTTTATTTTCAATTAACATGTTTTTCTCTTTCTTTAGTTTTAATTTAAGCAATTTTTTATTTGTCTTAATTATCTCGTTGTTTAAAACCTAAGTTTACAAATTTGATTAAATTTTTAATTGATTCAATTAGTTTTTTAATTGATTGAAAAAAATTTTCTGGCCAACTTTTCTATTTTAGTTTTTTTTTTAATATTTCAATTTGATTTCTTATGCTAACAATGTTTATAATTCCTAAATAGTCAATACGATTTTAGGCAAATAATATTCAAGTTTCCTGACAATTTATAAAACACTTTATATGTTCAAATTTGATAATAAAGTGATATTTTTTGTAAATGCTCAACGCATTGTTAAAGGTCAAGCATTCCTTTTACATTGTGAGTAATCAGTTAATAATTTGATTGTTTTAATCATCAACTTAATTGGTTTTTAATACATTTTCTACCAAACAAACTAATTCATTTGATTAATAAATTAATAAAAATTAGAATTTATTTTTATTAAATATTTAATTTATACAATTAATGAATTAATCAATTTTAAATTTTTTCTCAATTATTGATATTAATTGTTCTGATTAATTCGTTATTTGGAAAAAAAAGTATTTTTTTACAAATTTGATAATTGATATCATCATTTTGGTGATAGGTGCAAAACTTGCTTGATACAATTATTTTCAAAATTGAAACATATTTTTAGTTTTTTCTGTGTAATAAGAATCTATATAATTAATAGGCAAGACGATTTTTTGTGACCCCTTTTACTCTTACAGTATACATCTGATCTTGGCAAAAAATATATCATTTTAAAGGTATTTGTTCACAGATGTGCACAATATATATATTAATGAGATCGGTTCAGAATTTTAGGAGCTATAAACGTTTAAAGTAGTTACTAATACATAGAAACAATAGTCACACGTACGTATTCTTGAAATTAAAAACAAACACACAAAGCAAGAAACAAAAGTAAACAACATGGATTTTTGAAAAAAGAGAGGAGAGTGCAGAAACGTTTAACATCTCTGTTGCTGTTTTCTTTTTGTATTTTGCATGATATTTTGATTTTGTTGTTTTTAATAAGATTTTTGTAAACAAATAAGTATGTAAACAGGCTCAGGCAATGCGAAAATAGGATTTTATTGTTTTATATTTTTGTGCTAAATTGTGAATGAGATAATGATCAATTTTGTTATAACATCGTTACGATTGTTACCAAATCGAATATTTTTATAAGAAGTAGGACTTCAGTTTTATATTCAGAGTTTTCGATTGAAGGTTTTTCGTTATTTAAACTTTTCAAAATAATTAAATTGAAGGACTTTCCTGAGGAAACAACGAACTGGGAATATAAAAACATGTGTAAATAATGCTTGGGGACACCTCAAGATATGCCAAAAAATGTACTGATATTGGTGTTTGATCTGGAAAAGTATTGGTAGGACATCAGTACCGGAATTCAGTAATATCGTAAAGTAATGACAAATATCGGTTACATTAACGAATTTTCAATTCCCTAACTTTTTAACGACTGTAGAATATTTTAAAGACAAAGATCGGAAAACTATAAGAATGTCAAAAGTTATGTATTGAAATATTTTTAAATTATAAAATTATTAACGTGAACTTTTTATTGTTCGTTACACTGCCGATGCTTTTCGATTATGTTTAACGAAAAAAATCGGTGAAATAAAATACTTAATTGCGATACATAATTATTAGTTTTGATTGATTTGGAAGATTTAAATGATGGATTAACGAATTGATTCAGTGTCAGTAAGTAATAAAAAAAGCCTGTAAAAAGCTTATATGCAGGTTTAGCACAGCGAGGATTTGATGATATTCTTCTTTTTTGGGTTATTCTAACCAATTAGGAAATAGTAGTGTAAAGTGAAAACTGTAAGTTGAATAGGTGATGGTTATATGCTATATAAAAATAGATAAAACTGCTAGATGAAACTGCTAAATATAAATCATGTCTTTTGGGATAAAGAGTGTTTAACCGTACTTAGCAATTTATCGTTTATTTAATAAATGTAGGTCTGCTGAAGTCTTTGTCGAGTGTTATAAGGGAGAATTTATACAGCATATACTTGATGGAAGGACTACTAATGACATCCAAATAAAATTTATTTATAATTAGATAAGACATTATTTATTTTAAATAATTTTATTGTTTTGACAAATTATTTAGAACATTTCCACTCTGTATTTTGAACAGCTAACATATCTTTAATGGTGTGTACTGTAGAGTAATCCAGCATTGTGAACGTAGCGTAAAAATGTAGGGGATAATAAGTCAATAGAAGAAATGTTCGTTATTTATTATTTTTAAAATAGTTGAAATACTTTTGTAAAACAAGTTTTATAACTAATTTTGACAATTGATTTCCTTTTTTTCCAGCATAAGTTCTGGTCGAATTTCGACCGCTGGGCGAACTCTAGTTTTAATAAATACGTCAATCTTAAGTTTATCCTTGTTAAGTTTATATTGTTTGTTCTAAGAAAATATTTCTATGTATTTCAACATTTCTGATTCATGAATGTTAAGTTAGTTAGTTTGAAATGAGGATGTTACATAAAATCCGAAGGAATACATCTAGGCCTACATCGGTCCCGTTGTGAACTTCCTAACCAATGCCTCAGGTGGGAATCGAACGCACGGCGTCAGGTCTGAATATAACAATAACCACTAACCTACTGGAGGCCACACTAATTCATTTTTTTCTAAGAAGCTAGATTCATGAATATATAATTTGGTGGGTCTACTACCTTACAAACGGAATCACAAAATGAATATACCCCAATCTTTTTTATGGGTATAAAAATATTAGGGGTATATTGATTTTGTGATTCCGTTTGTAAGTAAACTGTTAAAACAGTTTTTTAAGAACCGAAATGTCGATTGGTCCACAATTGATCCTATTACAGCCATATAGCCCCTTCTACGAAAAATAATTGTAGTATCAATAAATAGCAAATTAGTTAACCGTAGTATAATAAAAGGATTTATCCATAAAGTCCTCAATTTATACGATAGATGCTGATGGATATACATATATGATTCGTCATAGCCGAATATAATACTATTACTATTTTCTCGGGAATGATTTTGGTATAAAATTTGTCGAAAACAGCAATTATGTATTTCATAACTATATAGTACCAAAGTAATTGGAAATTTTGTCTAATTACGTAAAAGTAAACCATTGATTCTTTGGAACAAGTCATTGTATGATATTACATATTAGTTTTAAAGATAATGAAACTCTAAACAGAAGCAATTCTCCCTAAGGAAAAATTTGGTAGTTTTTAGAAAGTTTTGGTAGTTTTTTGTCGGAACTTTGGTAAGAAAAACAAATTGTGTGTGGCAATGCTGCTTGTGACTGAAAATACAGAGACAAAACAGCACTAGATATGTAATGCACTCCACTCTCTTGTATGTACACTGATATAGGAAGCATATGGTTTAGAGTTCCTTTGTTAAAACAAGAATATTTTATCTTTTAGCTTAAAGGGGTCATAAATTGCTCTTAGATTAAACATGAAACATGGGGCAAGAATGTCAAAGTGCTTAAAGTGAACACCTGCCTTATTTCACGGTTTCCCGTTTTCATCCATTGGGTAGACTTGAGAACGGTGTACCACTCGCCCCCTAATGACTTCGATGAAGAACTCTCAGGTGGCAATTTTCCAGTCCATGTACAAGCACTTTGCTGAATTACTCGAGTTCTCTTGCCAAGTGATCACGTTGCCAGCCGACAGGAAGCAACAATACTAGCCCCACAGGCGGAGTAGTGCCGGTTGAATCTGAAAATTGGGGTTAACGAAACTCCAACAGACGCACCCGATAAATCCATAATCTCGATGTAACATCGAGATGGACCATTAGGTATAAGCGTTGTCATGAGGGACGCCGTAGCATCCTTTAACGATCCGCACAGGCAGATTTCTTGCCCCTTAGTCGCACAGAACCATGGAGTTCTGTTTTTTTCTATTAATGAAAAACTCAAATTATATACTTCATAGTCGAGATAAGGTCGCGAAATTTTATTTAGAATCTGTTTATTTATCTCGAAGTCCAGATTTCTAAACGCATCGTTTAAGAACTAAACTCTTCCCGAACACTTTCTAAAAGGAGCATTTACGGAACATTACGCTTCCATAAGACTTTAGAGCCCAAAATATTAATAAGTTATTTCATAACAAGTTCAGGAAGATGCGATCTCAGTCTACACAGATGTTTCAAAAATTTTCAAGGGTATTAGTTTGGTGTTCATCAGATTACATATACAGGGCCGCCAGAAGAATGAAATATTGAGACGTGACTAAAAATACTTATGTAAAAGTCTTAAATCTATCAATGATCTTAAGCTCTAACATTATAATGTCGAAATGCCTTCTTAATTATAATCATTCCCCAACTCATCTCAAACAAAACATTGTCAAATTGAAATGGGTTCTAATGGGCCCGAACTTAGGTGTTTTACTACTAACATTTGGAGAACATTCAACATTATCTTTCACGGAAAGTAGAAAGCTTCTTACATATCAGATCTTAAGGGCTACCGACGTAATTGTATATAGAATCGGAATAAAAAAGCAGATCAAAACTTAATTTAAGTATCTGTTATGATTAATTATCGTTAATGAATGTAATCAATTTCATAATATCTACCAAAATATCACTTCAAAAACCCGAAGTAACTAGAATCTCTGAAGTTCAGTCTCGGGTGACTAACCTTGTCCGTCATTTGTCGGTTGAAAACACGATAGGACACACATTGCAGGAGCTAGAGGACTTTTCAAAATTATTATTACAAACAAAGTTTGTTTGGTATCAAAAATGGGAAATGTCGGTCCACGATTTCATTTAGAACCGTTACAAGTGGTTCCCACTGAATGCGATTAAAAAAGTCAATAAAATTAAACCCAAATCGTGATTCTGAACATTGTCACAAAGATTTCTTCTTCGAAATTCACCAGTTATACAAATTATGTAGAGTTCCGACCATAATTGACATGAAACCCCATAGAAGGGCATCTTAAAAAAATTACTCTGATATTCATATTAATAATGATATACATACAAAATATTAATTAATATTAATCTACTTTCAGTCAATATGGATAATAATACTTCGTTTTATGGGCGATATGGCTGAGGCCAAATACGCTGACGAAGATGACGATACACAAAAATTTGGCACTGTCAAGTCGAGTGTCATGCAAAGATTAACACAAACTCTATCACGGTCAACCGTTCAAAGTAAAGAATTTCAGGAGGCCTTAGCAGCCATGGGTGAGATGGATCAGCAAAGAAAACTTATACGTAAAACTTTGAAAAGAAAAACCAAACTACCAGATATATTACGCAAGGCCTTAGATAATTCAGATGAAATTGAATACTATCAGCAAGTGTTAAATACCAGAATGAGTAATTTGGACAAATTACATTTTGTAATAGGACATGGTATATTGAAACCGAATTTGAGGTAAGTGTTAATGCTTAAAATAATTATAAGAATTATGTATAAATTAAAAACTTCAACTTTATAGAGATGAAATTTTATCGCAAATTTGCAAACAACTAAGCAACAATCCCTATCGTACTTCCTTTGCCAAAGGCTGGATTTTACTTTCGCTCTGCATTGGTTGCTTTCCGCCTAGTTCTCGATTTGAGCCCTATTTAAGGTGCTTTCTGCAACATGGCCCCGAATTGTATGGTTCCTATTGTGAAAATCGTTTAAATCGTACTCTCAAAAATGGTTCACGTACTCAACCTCCCTCCTGGTTGGAGTTGCAATCAACACGCAATAAAACACCCATAACATTGGAAATTCTTCTCATGGATGGTGGTGTGAAAAAATTACAAATAGATTCAGCTTCCACAGCTAAAGAAGCCGTACAACAATTGTCCGAGAATATGGGTTTAATCGATTTCTTTGGTTTTTCTCTGGTCATATCGATCTATGATAAAATCATGTCTTTGGGCAATGGCAGTGAACATATTATGGATGCCATTTCAAATTGTGAACAATATGCCAAGGAACAGGGCTACAATGAGCGCAAAGCACCGTGGAAAATGTATTTGCGCAAGGAAATGTTTAGCACTTGGTATGATCCAAGTCAGGATCAGCTGGCGACGCATTTAATTTATAAACAGGTTATGTGAAGAGATTTGTAAAATTAAATGGAAATTTATTATTGATTATTGATTTAATTTTTACAGATTTGTCGAGGTCTTAACTATGGTGAATACCGTTGTCGTACAGAGAAAGATGTGGCCATGATTTGTGCTTTGCAATATTATGCCGAACATGGAGGAGAAATGAAAGATGAAGTGAGTGATTAAGAAAAACATACTGCTGGGTATTTCCTTAACGATTTTTAAGTGGAATACGGCTTTAAGAGAAGATACTATTTTTATAGGTTTACCTCATAATAGTTAGGATAGGTTACGTGGGATGCTCGCAAATTAGCGAGTTCATACATAAGGGAGAACGGTTTCCCTCCATAATTTCATGGACTTTATGATTCATGTGGTCCTCGTAAGAACCTGTACTTCTACTTCCCGGTACTTCTAGTAAATCTGATCATACTTGCTACTCATAAAAAAGAGCTCCTCCAATATATAGTAGTTTGTGTTTTTGTAAAGCTGGGAAGTCACATAGAAGGTATTGTATCGATTTCTTCCCTTTTGCGCAAGAGTTATGTTTAGGAATGACACTTTGGTTGCGCATTCATCAAATATTTCATTTCCCCGGATGCCCTCATGTCCTGGGTTCATATCAACTCAACATGATGCGGATTCTTCTCGGGGCTGTATCGATAACATATATCTCTGCATGTATCGCATAATCGAAGAGACAACAGAAGGTCTAGTCTTTGATTTATCAAACCCAAAGGTTTTCTTATATATAGAAGGCACGTTTCCAAGAGAGCTGAGAGTCTAAAATTACGATTAGATACTTGGCTTCATTTGAGGTATTCACAAAGGAACCATCCAATCGTGGAGATCTGGATTCTGGGATTTTATACATCCTGCTGAAAAGAGCCAGTTTGGTTTTGGCAGGATTGACAGTTTTGATCTGTTTCCGATCTTTGAACACCCATAAATTATGTTCATTTGTATTGTTTCAGATATATTTCTACTCGCTCATGACAATATTCAGAAGATATTCATTCAGGACAATGTATGTAATATGATTATTCTTTTGGAGAACATGGCAAAGCATTCATTTGGAATCCATTAGGCCTATTGTGATATGCTTCAAATAAATCCTTCCCAAGAAGGACCCCTACTGTGGTCGCTAAGAGAATCAATAAGTGAGATATTATTGAGATTATTTTTCATCTAATTAACTTCTTTAGAATCTGTTTGTTGGGTAGTCCAAGTATATACCACAGGTCATACAATCATTAAGTTCTTAATTAGTACGTAAATAAAAAGTTCTCTGTTCTGACTACCGTTCTTCTATGTCCAACTTGTCAATCCTGCTATTCATCACAGTCAAGAATATCATATCATAGACCGTTCGCGATCAATCACCGATTTCCATGTGACAAATGACTACCGATTAAGTTATATTTAAGCACCCTGGATCATGGACATAAGAACGTACCATCATACCCCCTTAAGATCTGAGATGTAGTTGACAGACACTGTGTGGTATATTCTCAATTATCAATATGCATTTGAAATCAATCGACGTATAACATTTCCTAAATTATTATATGTAACCACTATAATGGCTGCCTTTCCAATTTTAAAAGGACTTCAATTTTCAATTTTATATTTACAGATTCTTCGCAAATGCATACCAGACTATGTGCCCAAGGATCTATTAATATCTGGCGAGAAGGCATTCAAGTCTTGGGAATCTCTTATACGTGAAACCTATAGCAAAAATGACTATGTAAAACAGCGAACTCCTAGACAAACAGCCAAAGAAGATATTTGTCTATATGCCCACTTAACATGGCCCATGATGTTTTCACGATTTTTCGAAGCACTGCGTACAGCAGGACCTAAACTTATGTCAGATCAAATAGTAATTGCCATCAATTCAAATGGTGTATATTTTGTCGATGAAATGGAACAGGTTTTGGCTGAACTAACCTATGCTGAAATATCGAAAATTTACTCGGAAGTAGATCCAAATTCTAATATAGATATTTTACATATTGATACGGTACAAAAGGAAAATTTCACCTTTAAGTGTTATGAGGCCAAAGACGTACAGGAATTGATAGAGTTTATGTGTAAAAATATTAAAATGAGATCGAAATATGTTATGGCAATGGAAGATTTTAAACCCGACGATAGTTTACTGGAATCAAAACAATGTTTATTTTTACTTAGAGGAGATCTTTTGCAATTAGACAATGGTGTCACAGGCTCTAGTATAATGGAAGCAACTAATCAACAGTGGTTTAAGGGAATTTGTAACAATGAAAAGGGAGAATTTCCAGGAAAGGCAGTAACGGTTTTGGCTTGTATCTCTAAGCCCTCGGAAAGGATTATAAAAATTTATAAGGATTTAAGTACAGAAACACCCACAAAACCCATGAGAGCTAAATATAATACCATACAAAGAAAGAAAATGCACAATCTAAAGAAATTTGCAGAAGAACATTTTAGAGCGAATTTGAGGTAAGTTATGGTTTCTAATTAAAAACCTAATATTTATTAATATTTTTTCCAAAAGTGCTCGCAGAGGTTCTGCAAGTGGTTTGCATAGTGCGCGTTCTGATGGCGATGAACTGTGGCGTCATACACGTAATTTATTAAAAGCTCCTTTACTAAAACAATTACAACATGAAGAGGAACTATTTGAATTGGCAGTTATAATGTTTCAGAATATATTAAAGGTCAGAAATCTGAATGTTTCAAATTGTAATGATAGTTTGAATTATTTCCATTTATTTCAATAGTATATGGGTGATATACCCAGCGGTAAGCAGCCTACCAATACAGATTTCATATTCAAACCTTGTCTGGAGCATGATCAACTTCGGGATGAACTATATTGTCAACTAATGAAACAGCTAACGGATAATAATGCTAACTATAGCGAAGAAAGAGGTTGGGATCTAATGTATTTGGCTACGGGCTTAACATTTCCCTCTGGTGTTGTTATGAAAGAGTTATTAGAGTTCCTAAGAACTAGACCTCATGTATTGGCGGCAGAATCTTTGAAACGAGTTAAACGTACCCTGGCTAATGGTCAGAGAAAATATCCTCCTTATATTATAGAAGTTGAGGGCATACAACATCGTTTTATGCATATTTATCATAAGGTAAGATGGTAGGAGAAACCCAAGTTCTTCGAAAGATTTCTAATAGAGTCAAGCTTTTATAAAAGTGGTCATGAGTAGGGTAAATATTCTGAGAACTCGGTATAATATTTAGAAAGTACTATTTTCCATTTTTCTGCCTAGAAGACACATTTTCGAGTGTCCTAGAAGACACATTTTCGATTTAAAAATATTTTTTATATCAAGCCAGAGACCAAAGTGTACTTTTCTAAACGATTGACCTGCTTTGAATCCGAATTGAATCCGAATTTTTAATTTTTGACACTATATCTGGAAAACCGGATGTGATGGAGAAATTCAGAGGCTAGATTCAGATTCAGCGCTGCCTTTATAAAAGTATACTTTGATCTCTGGGTAAATAATTGAAAAGGTGTACCAAACAGTTTACCGATTTTGAGCCGAAGTTAGTATATACATATATATTCCATTTCCTCTTTTTAGTACTTTTCACTCTATTGAGTAACAAATCTATTCCAAAAAATTCAATATCGCATTAGGAGTCCATAATTAAAGTACCAATTTGACTCCTAAAACATTCTTACCTAATCAGTGTTGATTTCTTCTTTTCTTCTAGATATATTTTCCTGATGCCACTGTTGAAGCTTTTGAAATTGAATCCTTTACCCGAGGTTCAGACTTAGCGAAAGCTATCGGCTCGAGGCTCAAACTTAAATCTTTAGAGGGTTTCAGTTTGTTTGTTAAAATTGGCGACAAAGCCTTTTCAATTCCCGAAAATGATTTCATATTCGATTTTATAACTGAACTAATGCAGTGGATTAAACAAAATATGCCCACCCGATCATTAGATAGCCAGCAAACATGCCCCTATCAATTGTATTTCATGAAGAAACTTTGGATCAATACTACACCCGGCAAAGATCGTAATGCCGATGTAATATTCCATTATCCCCAAGAAGTACCCAAATATTTGGCCGGTTATTATAAAACCAATAAAGAATTGGCTTTACAATTGTCTTCACTGATTTATGTGGTCGAATATGGTCAGAACTTTATACCATTGCAAAAACCGCATGAAATACTGAAACTTATAATACCAGATGATATTTTGCCAATAATGAAATCTCAAGAATGGAAGACACAACTTGTAAATCGAGTAAAAGATTTGCTATTGAGTGGTGTGGAGGGTGCTAAAGCTAAGGAGAAATTTTTGATGCTATTGGCAGAACAGGAAATGTTTGGTTCCACATTCTTTGTGGCCAAACAGACTAATGATGATAGTATGCCGGAATTGATATATTTGGCTATAAATCGTAAAGGTTTTCATATTATAGATCCCTTAACTAAGGTAAGAAAAATAAAACAATATTATACTTTTAGCAGAATCTAAGAAAAGTTTTTTCAATTTTCAGAATACTTTGCAATCCTACGGTTACAGTGAACTAAGTTTCTGGAGTTCGGGCAATACCTACTTCCACATACGTTTTGGCAATATGATAGGAGCCTCTAAATTGCTCTGTTCCACTACCCAGGGTTACAAAATCGATAATTTACTTTCTTCTTATATTAAATATTTAAATGATAAACAATAAATTTTAATTAAAAAATATAATAATTTTAAAGAAATATTTTAATAAACATTTACAAATAATTCAATTCTTTGGATTTGCCAATCAAAGCAATCATACCGGCCATTAACTCTTCACAATTGGGCAGAATCTGTACAGGAGGCAAGACAAAACCATAGCGACCCTTATCGCGGTACTCAATGGTGTAGCCAACTTTAACACCCAAAGTATTGAAAACCCAATCAACGGAGGAACCAGAAGCAACATCTAAATTAACATGGAAATATTTAGAAAATCCTCTATTTGCAAAAATGTTATAACAACTTACACAATACTGTGGCAGTGGAACCATATCTGTATTCAGTCTTATAAGGTAAATCAGCAATGGCATCATGGAATGCCTTACCAATGGTGACAATATCATCATAATTTTCGGGAAACTCTTCTGCGGTATGACCATAAGGAGACAATAAATATTGACCATAAGAGTGGAAAGACAAATAGATTTTGATTTTATCCTTAATGGAGGTGACATATTTGGCTAAAGCAGCAGCTTCTGGTTCAGAGAAAGCCTTAGGACCGGCAAAAGTTTCACTGCAGGGATTACTGGAGGCACCACCGTTAGCCATCCAATGAGAATCGAAGTTACGGTTGGCATCGGTACCAATGCAAGAGTTGGATTCGACGGGTTGACGAGTTTTACGCCACATACGATCCTGAAAAAGTGAAAATTTCGCAAAATTATTTCGTGGACCTTTACACAAACTACAACGTTTCCATTTATATTACGAAAAGTTACTAAATAAAGTTTCTTATTGTAAAAAAAATGTCTGAATATAAATTCTCGTTAACTTTACTTTCACCCACCTTTTCATGCGAATAAACGAAGCCGTCAACATTGAATACAGGAATTATATACCAATCATAACTTTCAGCCAAATTACGTACAGCAGGATCCTGGGAAGTCAACAATTGATTGATAAACCAAGTAGCAGTAGCCGAAGTGATCCATTCACGAGCATGAATATTCGATTCAATGAAGATACCAGGATTGCCAGCCTTATGGGAAATCTTAATACCACGTATGGTACGATTTTCATAGGATTTACCAACTTCAAAACCCTCGGTAACACTGGGATAAGCAGCCAAAATACCATCTAACCACTGTTCGATTTCATGCAATTGATAGTAGCGAGTCCAACCGAATTCGGCATTATCAGTAGATAATTCTGAAGCAGTTTCTTCGACATCGATTAATCTAAATTATATTTTTTTATATATTTATTAATTGCAATTTAATTCTTATCGCTTTAAATACAATCGTAATAATTTATGATTGTTTACTACTGTTCCACCACTGTCACACTTACTCTTGAACATTGTTTATCATTAGTTCACTTTCGAAACCATAAACCTTTAATAGTTGTAGGAAATTGGCAACTTCTTGGGGTTTAACCATTATGTGAATTTCTTTGGTGGCCTCATCGTAATCCTTCCAAATGTTGTACTAAAAGTTGAAAAATGCAAATATTTTTAAAACTATTTGTATATTTGTCAGAGAAGAGGGTTCTAACTGGAAAGGATCCATAGATCGATAATAAGAAATTGTTAAAAAGAAGTTCCCTTGCTTTTGTAGGGAAACAATTTCTAATCAATATTCATGGGTTTTAACCAAACTATATTTATCGAAAAGAATATATTAAACTATTTGCGAGATCTTAATAGCTCAGTGATCATTCTGTATCGGAATATAAAATGCTTTTTTCATGACTCATTTATGGAATGGTAAACAATTCCATCCCAGTATCAAAGAGCAATGTATTCTTGATTTATGACCAATATTCGAAATTACTTGCATTCCTTTTAGACCTATCATGTTATATAACCCAATTATCTCTCTCGAAAAGCTATTCTTCTGTTCTGGTTACGTACATAGAAATCCTAGAAACACTAATTGAATCATTAGCACAACATCTTCAAGACAAAATAAATAGCTCATTGGACTTTCTATATCAGACTATAAGACGTGCTTTTTAAGCAATTCCAGCCTTGCAGATTCGAAAAGAAGTTCGAATATTAATTTGTTTATAATGTGAAAAGGGACAGTCTATGAAGGACTTGGTCAAATAATGAGTAACAGGTATGCTGAAGATCTGGATCACTAATTTCCATTTAGCTACAGGTAAAACAAGGTAGTTGTGATTAGGTCCACTTACGTTATGAAGATGTCATATCTCTTGACTTAAGAAACCTTGTCATAAGAAAAATCACTCTCAGGCTCTGTAATATTGGTACCAAGATAATCAAAGGCAATTTGTTTAGAGAATAATCTTTGAGAAGATCTTTGATCTGATTCGGAAGATAAATTCAATGTTGACACAGAGGGAAAAAGAAATGTACACGTCTGGTACCAAATTGACACCAAAAAGTTTATAATTTTTTAATAACATCCGTTGACAAAGTATTACATACGTACGACAATACTATGTAATGTTGACAACGCAACGTTGTTAACATTGCTACAATTCGTTGTCGAAATCTAAATTTTATACAGAGTTACCACGTTTGTTAACATTTAGACAACGGATGTGTATAAAATTTAGTTTTCGACAACGAATTGTTGCAATGTTGTCAACATTACATAGAACGTATGTATATACTTTGACAACGGATGGTATTGAAAAATTATAAATAGTTTGGTGTCAATTTGTTACCAGGCGTGTATATTTATTTTTCCTCTGTGTATGTATGTCCTAAATCGTCCTACCATGAGATTATACCTTCAAGCACCCTCATCTAAGTCTAAGGTCCAAATTAAAATTAACTGTTTTTAATTAGGTAAAATTCAAACTGTCCATTGAAAGTGAAGTCTTGTCTTGTTTACTAAATGTCTCTCATTGGAAGAACGTTCCAAATAAAGTTTTGAGAAAGAATTTAATCTCAAGATTTTGTAGATGGAATGACTTTTTGATAACTTCCAATTCAGAATTATGTTTAATTTCATACTGTAAGAATTTTTATTTCCTTAAGCATTTCTCGTTAAGATAGCGAAAAGTTTTCTTTATCGTGTCTCTTTAGGTAGGTAGGTAGGTAGGTAGGTAGGTAGGTTATGTAGGTTACTGGCAAGTTAGCGAGTTCACTCGGAGGCCTTTTCATCTATCTATATCGATAAGAATACCAGGGGAGTGTGAATATCCCTTTGCACAAGAGTTACGTCTAGAGACCCTTTGGCTGCGCATTCATCAGATACCCAGATGCCCTCATATCAACTCGACGTGATGTGTCAATTGTGTCAGTGTTTGGATGGAATTGAGAAGAATAACGTTATCAAGTCTCGTTACTACATTGAGATTACAGTGGAATAAGCTTCATGAAGTAAGCTTATGTGTCACCTTAGTTTTCGGAAAATTTATACAAGAATTGGGAATTTCAAATCTTAATATGGATTTGGAGAAACTACCAAATAATTAAACTCTGTATGATTTTAACAATACGTACTAAAACTCTACAGATTTCCTGCAGTTATCCTGATAATACCTTATACCATGCGATTAAATTTAAATTTTTTGTATCACATAAACTGCTTTTTATATTTTATTAAGATCTGTAATTTTTACAACGAACCGCGTTCATTAAAAGTTCTTCATTAGAAATATGTAAAATTTCATTAATACAATGAAGAGTTTCAATTTTAACACATTCTTTTTCAATAATTTATTTATAAATTCACCTTTTCACTTAGATCTTGCAATATATTAACAATTGACAATTGCACTTTATTCTTAATATTCAATTTGTAAACTTTATAATCGTCGTAACGAATTTTTCCACTATCATTTACGGTTGGTTGCTTATGTAAACTCGCAGCGGTGGCACAAACCACCAGGGTGGCCAAAATCAAAATTAAACGCATTGTAATGGGTGTTGTGTCCGACCGGTTTATACACAAACTAAACTAAATTCTAACAATTAACCACAATTTATAGCTTTGATTTCAGCTAAACCTAATCTAGAAAACCATAAAAAGTAGCTGACGAACAATAGTTATAAATTTTATTTTCAAAAAGATTATTTTGTTTGGAATTTTATTCGAAATTGCTTAATATTTCGCCTTTAGATAACCCAATTGATCTGCTTCTTTAACTAAAGCCAATATGCCAGTCATAGTTTCTTCACAATTGGGAAGAATTTGTACGGGTGGCAAAACAAATCCATAACGTCCAGTATCACGCATTTCAATAGCATAAGTTAGTTTAATGTCTACTTCATTGTAGGCATATTCAATGGTAGCACCAGTAGCCAAATCTGAAAATAGAGTAATTATCGTTATTGGTTTAAGATTTTAGATAATTTTATAGGTCATTAAGCGATTGTGATTGCTATCAGTCATAAAGATAGTTATTTATAGTTGGAGAAGTTAAATAATTTCTTGATGTGCTGATAGTGAAACTAATAATTGACTGGCTAAACCAGTCATACGCTACCCTACTTGGTTTTTCATTACTTACACATAGCTCCCGCTGATGTTCCATATGTGTACTCTGTACCATAAGATACATTTTCCACTGCATCGACATAGGCTTTAGCCACCTTCATTAAATCATTATAATTTTCGGGAAGCACTTCGGTTGTATGACCATAAGGTGACAGCAAGACTTGTCCATAACAATGGAATGCAATCAGAATATTGAATTTGTTTCTATTAGCCTGCAAATAATCAGCTAAACCCTTAATTTCTGGTTCCGAAAAGGCCTTGGGTCCTGCATAATCATAAGCACAAGGATTGCTAGAAGAACCACCCTCCATACCCCAATATGAATCAAAATTACGATTACCATCGGTACCAACACAATTAGAATGTGCCACAGGCTGGCGAGTTTTACGCCATAGGCGATCCTATAAATAGATCAAAACCTATTAAGAAGACTCCCTTCCAAATGCAAGAAATAATTTACCTTTTCATGTGTATAAACAAAACCATCTACATTCAATACCGGAACTATATACCAGTCATAATTCTCAGCCATATTACGTACATTTGTATCGGTGGATGTTAATAGTTCATTGATAAACCAAGTGGCGGTAGCAGAAGTAATCCACTCTCGGGCATGTATATTGGACTCAATGAAAATACCAGGATTTCCTGCTTTATAGGAAATTTTAATACCTCGTATTTTACGACCCTCATAGGACTGACCAATGACAAATTCTTCAGCTACGGAAGAATATTTTGAAAGAATGTTGTCGATAAATTCTTCGATTTGTGGCAATTTATGATAACGTGTCCAAGTAAATTCTGAATTATCTAAGTTATCATCCACGGCTTTTTGTTCTTCATTTATTAAACTGCAAAAAATATTTAAATTCGATTTAATAGATAAGGTTCAATAAGTTAAAAAATTTTTATATATGTATGGGCAATTTCGTTCAAGTGACCCAACTTTTAGATAGCAGGCCCGACACAGCTGTATCGGTCAAGAACTGCAGGACCTAAAGTGAGTCAGTTGCACCATATGTAGCATAACCTTTCCTATCCTAATCTAAACAAAATAGTTGAAGAAAAATGTATCTTAACCCTTTCGTCCCCAAACCCCCATCAAATTAAACTTAAGAATATGATATCTCAAAGGAATAGGATTTTCAGACTTAACATATTCTATATAAAAGAGCTGAATTTGCACTCTTATAATGTCTCGAAAGTCTGATGCGATGAAGAAATTTATAGGTCAAATTTTTTTGGATACAATGAAGAAATAGATATATGAAATCCTTTGGACAATTTTTGCTAGAACCAATAGGTTAAAAGTCACACTTTGAATAAAACCTTGTATGACCACAGGCAATAGAAATTTATGGAATCAATCGCTGCTATATTCTGAACATCATGGCATAACCTGCAAAATTCTGGTATGTAATTGTTCCATTTTCTAATATGAGCCCTTCGGGGTGCAATCAATCCTTGGATTGATTTGACATAGGGTCGAACCAGAGAACCACATAATCTGTTCCAACGGGTGGCCAGTTGGCCGCAGGACTTTGTCCTGGCTGGTCAGTTGGTTCAGGTTCCTTCGATATCCACGTGGTGGCTGTGGTTTAAACTCAAATTCGTGGGAAGAGAATGCCGGTTAAAGGACTGAAGTACAGTGAAATCTTGAATTCGGGATAAGTTCGGTGATGTTGCCAAAGTCAACAGATATCCCACAGAGGAGTGACTGTAGGACTAAGCTTTGGTAATGAGTTGGTGTTAAATGTAAATGTATGATACAGGATGAATATAGGAGTATATATGTCGGATAAATGGGAAGTGTGCTGGGTTGAATGGTGATGAATGAAAGGTATCTTATACAAGTGATTGACCACAGGGTATGAGTAATTACAAAGTCCTCGGCTTATGTGATGGATTCGTGTTTCGGTCTACCGAATACGTGCTAGGTGCTGTTGCTGACTCAACAGAGGCCATCCCATTTGCGTGGTTGTAAACGGAAGTGAATTTCTTACATCTTGGAAGTTAAGCAACGGGACAACAATGGCCAGAGATTAGATAGCTCGAGTACTTGACCAATATGCTTGTACATGGACCGGCAGAACCATATAAAAAAAATGCCCAAGGCCAACACGGCAGGTGTTCACGTAAAGCACTTCGAAATTCATCACCCAAAGGAGTGACGCGTTGAAAATGAGTTAGTGTCAAGCGAATATGATACGGGATGGATGTGAGGGTATGCGGGCCTCATAGACGCAAGGTATCCTTACAATTGACACCATTGAATTTTCCTTCCTTGTCCGAGCCACAAAGGGACAGTGGTGGTTGTAAAAGTACTACCTTGAAATAACACAAACACGGCATGTGTTCACGTAAAACACTTCGACTTATTAGTGACAAATGGTTTGTTTTACCCAACATTAATTTTCATTTAGATCAAGGTTCGATCCATGTCTGCAAAATTTAGTTATAGTTTCTTCATAAATTTTACACTCCTTATCAAAAAGAATAGGGATATAATGATTTTGTCATTTCGTTCAAAACACATGGAAATATTTGTTGTAGTTTTACAAATACATATTGTGGGTGCTCGTTATATTCTTGCACGATCTAACCATATCCGTCCATCCGTCTATCTGTTGAAAGCCCTACATATTGGGTACAAACGATTCGTTTCCATAAACTTACCTTTGTAAATTCGAGATCATTTCATAGTGCTGAATACCACGGTTGAAAGTTGTATTCTTAAAGGCTGAAAGATATTTGGGATTGACCATTAAATCAATGTGTTCCATATCTTCGTGCCAAATTGAAACCTACGGTTACGTAACACACATTTTTATTTAATAATTATAACTGAATATTTCAAAAGTATTGCAATATTTACCTCTAGTTTATTGGCTAATTCTTGTATAAGAGTCCTTTGTTCCTTATTGGCAATTTTTACTTTATACACTTTATATCCTTCATAATTAACCTTCGGCTCATCGATTTTTATAGAAGCCGCGTTAATTATAGTAAAAATTACAAAAAGTATAAAAAACGACTTCATTGTGCTATAACGATCTGCAGTTGAATGGAGGTGACTGACTGAATGAGTATTATTTTCATTGATGGTTTTTAATTCATTTATATAAATTTAAATTACGATAAGATTAGTGTAAACGAGACTGATCGACTGAATGGATGGGTAATTAATGATAAGTTATTTTCCAAGCAGATAAAGTCCTTTCAGGAAAGAGTAATGAGCAAAAAAAAAAGTACTTTTTTGAGTGGACAAAAAGTACTATTTCTTAAATTCATATTTTAAGAAGAATAGCATATTAAATATTTTATGTAAATCTGCACAAAAAACATACACATATGTAAATAGACTAAGTCCATTAAAAGTTGTAGCCAAATAAATAAAAAGAAGTCTTATAATGGTTTTATAAAGCCGTTAACTACTTCGTAAATAAATAGGTCTAATGGTTCCCCGAAATTTAGTTTCAGCAAAAATATTCCAAGTCCGTATGTTCTTATATTTCCTCAAGAAATATGATTCTGTTTATATTGGTACCAAAATTTAGAATAAAGTAATACGTAAGCGTACTACAGTTCCGGATTTTTTCAATATTGCAGCGTCATCAAACAATAATTCTATGGAAACAAGGGTCAATTGCATACTTATCGAATCATTATTTAAATTTCTTTGTTTAATAATAAAATCTTATTTTGGTACTGCAATAAATCTTAAAAATACATTCTTTATCTGAAATCGTAAAAAAAATTACGATTGATACCTCCTCGTATTATAAAAATATAACGCTTTTTAGAACGAACCGTTATAAGACTCCGTGGCGCAACGGTAGCGCGTCTGACTCCAGATCAGAAGGTTGCGTGTTCAAATCACGTCGGGGTCAATGAAGAAAATTACTCTTTTATATTTTTAATTTTTTCCAAACTATAAAGAAAAAATAATTTATTTTTTATTTACTTATAAATTTTTTTAATAGATATTTTTTAAATTGATTTAAAATGAATAAAAACAAATTCTAACATTTGACCCCGACGTGATTTGAACACGCAACCTTCTGATCTGGAGTCAGACGCGCTACCGTTGCGCCACGGAGTCATATATTGTTATACACGCCAAATGCCAAAAACTTTTCATATTATATCAATTTTATAGCATACTTTTTGGCTGCTACTATAAATAATTATGCCAAACAATAAAACTGTACGAGTTAAAAATAGTTGCATAGTTTTGCGTGTGTGTACTTAAAAGTAGACATTGTGTATAACAGTTTTATTTACTACGCACTAGTGTCGCCAGATGTGAGGATTTCTCCCCACATTGGGGATTTGAAGTTTTATTTGTGGATCGATTTTCGTGGGGAGGGATTTGGGAATTTTCGTAAAAGTTTAAGATTTTCTATAATTTTTGCGCTCTTTTTGGGGGATTTTTATATTTTTTATAAATATTAACAATTATATTATTTATAATTATATATAAAAAATTAGATTTTTCGTACATGCTCAGGCAGAAATTATAAACAAACAATAACAACAACAAACATAACAAAAAGGTAAATTTTGTTATTTTACTTGTTTGTTTATTTATTTTTTGTTCGAAATTTTGAATTCTTTTTGTTCGTCAAAGACAAAAATTTTAAACTGGAAGTTAATTTTCTAATGATATTTTGTATATGATGTCGTTGACATTACAAAACCAAATACTCGTGAAAGTAGAGATTGCATACAGACCCATAAAATTATATATATTTTGGGTCCTCATTAGATTCTAAGACGATCTAGCCATGTCCGTCCGTCTGCCTGTCTGTTGAAAACACGATAGAGTCCAAACGGGAATAGCTAGAGAGCTGAAATTTTGCACAGATATTTTTAGTTAATGCAGGTTATTAGGTACTGAAAATGGGCAATATTGGTCCACAATTTCGCCTAGCCCCCATATAAGGTCCCCTTCAGAAAATGTCTTTAACGCTCATAACTGGCTAAAGGAAGCATATATGGCTGTTAAATTCGGCATAAACATGTTTTATGAGAAACTAAATACCTTTATAAAATTTTATAAGGATCGGCCCATAGTCGACCCTACCCGCCATATAAGGGCCCCTTCAGAAATTGACTTTAACGCTCATAACTGTCTAAAGGAAGCAATTATAGTGGTGAAATTCGGCATAAACATATTTTATATAAACCTAAATATCATAAATATGTTTGTTACAAGACAAAATCTCTCTTCTAAATCTTATGAGGATTGGTCCATTATTGACCCTACCCCCCATATAAGGTCCCCTAAAAATGACTTTAACGCTCAGAAAAGAAAAAGGAATTCTACACAAATATGTTTCATACTAGCCAAAATCTCTCATAGTTTTTGAGTATCGATACATAATTAATACATAAAATACCCCCCATATAAGGTCCCCTTCAGTAAGTAATTTTAACGCTCTACTGGCTTAAAAAACGACTATAGCGATGAAATTCGACATTCATAAACAACTTTCTTACAAGTCAAAATTTCTCTGTCAAATTGTTAGAGAATTGGTTTATAATTGACCCTAGCCCCATATAAGATCCCCTTAAAAACTTACGTAACCGCTAACTGTCTTAGAAATGCGAGTGTAGCGAATAAATTCGAGATAACTTTGTTTATTACATGCCAAAATTTCTCTACCAAATCTTTTTTAGGTCCCTTTTTAATATTTTTAATATTCACGTATTTTGCAAAATTTAAGAATGAAAATTAGCCCCAAAGGAAAAAAGTTTTGTTTTGGGGTATTTCTTCATTTCACAACATTGGGGTCATTTTTATTTTTTTGCAAAATGCAGTATTACCCCAAATGTAAAAATGTTGAAATGCCCCAAAAAAAATTTAAAAAAAACACAAATTTCGTGTTTTTGTTTCCTGTATCTTTGTTGGGGCCATATTTCGTTTTATATTTTGGGGCCATTTTACCTGGGGTCATAATTCGCAGCGCCCAAAACTAATATTTTACCAAATTTTGTATCAATAGTTTTATTTGGTAATGAGTAATGTGTGTTTAAGAGATTTTCGTAAAAGGACCTTGTATGGGAGCTATGACCAATTATGTATATACACGCAGAGAAAAAACATGGTTCAAAATGGTTACTACAACTATACCATGTTTACTGGAACAATATATTGTTTTCAAAAACATATAATTGTTATTTTAATTAGATTTTAACAATATTTTAGTTACTGTAAACATTTTCATGTTCAAGGCAATTATAAATTTGAGTATGATTCACTGGAAAATAATTATTTTTACAACAACTAAATAATGATAACAATGAAAACATATTATGTTATTTACAACCATTTATAACCATTATATGTTATGTTATATAACCATTGTATGTTATGTTATTATAAATAACTATTATATGTTATGTTGTTATATGTCTGCTGATACAACAACAAATGAATTCAACAACAAAACAACTTTTGCCACACACATTTACTCATACAGATTACTTTTTCGTTGTGTGTGTTTTTTTTTACGCGACAATAAAATGAGTTGAAATAATTCTCATTTGGTTTATAACATTAAACGTATAAGTATTTCAGTTTGTATAAAATAACGTAGTTATGTTTTTGTGAAGCAAATTGAAATTTGCGAATTGTGTTAAGTATTGTAAGTATAATATATTTATTTATATATATTTTTTACTTTTTTTTAGGAACTGTAATTTTACTAATTCAGTAAAATTTATTTTGATTTCGATACATATTTAAACGAAATTTTGATCACATTGGATTGTAATATGATCATGTATAACAATATTACGATAAATAGAAAAATATTATGATAAAATATTTCCACGGTATATAATCATAATATGATATTTTAAAATTGTTACAATAACGATAATATGTTTAGACTAATTTTAACCATAATATGTTGCTCTTAGAACATGGTTACCACAACCATGTTTTTTCTCTGCGTGTAAAGACAAAATTTCAAAATTCTGTATCTATATCATTATTTGTCAATGAATATTGTGCATTTAAGTGATTTTCTGGAGGGGACCTAGTATGAGAGCTATGACCAAATATGGACCGATTGCAAAACAATTTTATAGTGTAATTTATGTATATAAGAGCAATATTTGTGCTAAATGTATGGATATCAATATTTTGTAATAAGTTATGTGCGTTTAAGTGATTTTTGGGAGGGGACTTTGTATGGGAGTTATGACCAATTATGAACCGATCGGAAAAAATTTCACAGTAATATTTCTATGCATATGGGCAATACTTGTACCAAATTTTATGTGGATATCTTAATTTTGTAATGAGTTATGTGCGTTTAAGTGATTTTCGGGAGGGGACCTTGTATGGAGCTATGACCAACTATGGACCGATCAGAAAAAACTTTCACAGTAAAATTTCTTTGCGTATGAGCAATACTTATACCAAATTTTATATGGATATCTTAATTTAATAATGAGTTATACGCGTTTAAGTGATTTATGGGAGCTATGACCAATTATGGACCGATGGAACAAAAATTTCACAGTAAAATTTCTGTATGTGAGAGCAATACTTGTACCAAATATTATATGGATATCTTAATTTAGTAATGAATTATTTGCGTTTAAGTGATTTTCGGGAGGGGACCTTGTATAGGTGCTATGACCAATTATGGACCGATCCAAAAAAAGTTTCCTAGTAATATTTCTGTATATGTGAGCAATACTTGTACCAAATTTTATATGGATATTTTAATTTGGTAATGAGTTATGTGCGTTTAAGTGATTTTCGGGAGGGGACCTTGTATGGGAGCTATGACCAATTATGGACCGATGAAAAAAAAAATTCACAGTAATATTTCTGTATGTGAGTGCAATACTTGTACCAAATTTTATATGGATATCTTAATTTCGTAATGAGTTATGTGCGTTTAAGAGATTTTCGGGAGGGAACCTTGTATAGGAGCTATGACCAATTATGGACCGATTCAGAAAATTTTTTCTCTGAATGAATTCTATTGACATAAGATTTTAATTTGTAAAATTTTGTAAAGATTTCGACATTGTGATGGAAGTTATTAACAAAAAACCCATTTTCCGGGAATATGTACTTTTGTATGGGAGGTATATGAAATTGTGGACCGATTCTGGCAATTTTCAGCAGGAGTCAATTTCATGGAATTATCTTGCATAGTTTTTGAGAAAATTACATCAGAATGTGTAAAAAATGCTTATTTTTTTCGAGGTTGTTTCAAATTTTGATTCATAACTTTCCCGGTGTAAACCGATTTTGCTCATTTTCAATACCAAACTGCCTAGTACAATAATAAATATTTTGGGTGAATTTCGTTAATTTTTGTTGCTTCGTGTTAACGTATGAATGTTTTATACAGACAGACAGACGGACGGACAGACGGACATAATTGACAATATTTTTTATGGTACATATGTATATCAAAAATAATATTTTTTATTTACTTAAAAAAATACTAAATACTCTCGAAAAGACAGAAGAGAGCAGGATGCTGTGCACAGAAATTTCTTCTAGCTGTGTACAGCAATATCATTTTTTTTATATGTGCTGCGTCAAATTAAAGTGGCCCCTAGGGATACGCAGCAGCCTGGGTCCCATAAGAAATACACGTGTTTGTGTGTGGTGCACAGCCAAATCTGCTTATTCGCAGTAACTCTTATAGCAACTTGAAAGATGAGGTGACAGCGAGTGACAATTTGTGAAAATATTTCTATGTGGTTTCAATAAATGTCATATTTTTTTCATATGTGATTTGACATTCAAGAAACTCAAATACATCTGTATGCTATGTTTTGCTTACAATCTTATGTTTTTTTTTTTACAATATTATGTTATATTGCGCCATCTATGTTTCATTAAAAAAATTAAATGCGCTTATCAAAGACACTTAAAAAGTGTTTAATTGTACACTGACTACCAGAGGACGCAGTTTGTGAGACATGTCTTAACTATATTAAATGATTATGTTTTTTTGGGGAAAACTGTGGGGATTTCAGTTTAAAAATGTGGATTTTTATGGGGCCTTCCAATCTAAGATTGGATCGTGAGTAAAATTTTTCTGGCAACAATGCTTCTATATAAGTTATATGTAGATATAACTATATATTCACATTATAAGATATTTCAAGGCCTCCTAATGAAATTCCGCCCATTATTTTCAGCTTTAATAGTTTCTCAGATATACGAATTTCTCTACTTAATTAATATGGGGCGTTGCAAACCACTCTGATGAAAGTCCGCCCTTTTTCCCCCCAAAATGTTCACAATATATAGGTAGTTTCCCAGATAAATTAATATTTGTATTTAATTCGTATGGTAGGTGCCATGCCCCCATTCGTAGTCCGCTAATTTATTACCCAAAATTTTGTATGTGCAAAATTTTATGATTCTAACGCTAATATTTCCCAGATAAACGAATTTTTGTATTTAATTCATATGGGAGGAGCCACGCCCCTTACTGCCAGTCCACCACTTTTTGTCTTGAATAATCATATTGACATTAAAGTGGTTCGAATATGGTCAGAACAAAACTCGTATTTTTAAGCCAGTAATGAGTGTGAAAGTCATTTTCTGAGGGGGGGGGGGGGGGGGTTGTTGTAGGGTCAATAATGGACCGATCCTCATAAAATTTGGTAGGGATATTTTAGATCATATGAAACTTATTTATGTCGAATTTCATCGCTATACACTTACTATTAAAACAGATATGTCCGTTAAAGCTGTTTTTCGGGGGTCCACTTGTATGGGGGCTATCCGAAAACGTGGACCGATATTGTCCATTTTCAATACCAAACAAAGAATATTTGTGGAATTTCAATCCTCTAGCTCGTGGTGCAAATATTAAGGAATCAGATATCCTCTAGACTAAAAACATTTTTCAAATATAACTTTCGGTTCTAATAGAACTGGTTCTTGAGCAACCAGTTATGGAATTTATAAAGTGGGAACTAGTTTACAAAATTATTCTGGGTATTATTGAAGCTCAATTTTTACCCTAAATTTCTCAACAACTGCTACACCGATTTTAAAGAAGAAGAATTAACATTTTTATAAGATATTAATCTTGCTTCGAATTTCATCCAAATTGGAAGACGTCGATTTTAAAAGTTGGATTACTTGACACGAAATTGTCCTTATATGTATCTATGAGGCCTTTCTGAATCAACTCGAAAAATATAAAGAAGTCTTAAAAACAGCTGTAATGTAAAAACCTTTTTTATTAAAAACTGAACTGTTTTTTTCCAATTTCACTTAATATTATTTTTATTTTAACTCTAAATTGTATAAAACATTGTATTAGTGCGATTTGTGTTATAGTAATCATACATTACTATAGCTGCCGGTTTTTGATCTTCTATCTCATTCGATCTAAACGTTTCGATTGTCACACAATGTCTAATACCAGTTGATAATTTATCAAAATATAAAATCGCCACAGTTTCATCATTTTTTGTCTCAATTCTTTGTATAAATTCATTTTCCACTAAATCTCGACTAAATTCTGCTTCGGTTTTAAAACCTGAAGGTAGATTTGCTTCCATAATGACCATATTTGTATTGTTATTAACTGCTTCTAGAGCCTGATAGGTAAAACAAACATGTAAATCCATTTCTTCGTCATTATACGAAGAAGAATTAACGTTCATGATAAAATATTTGATGTCCACATCATTTTTGATATTGTACCGAGAGGAAAGTTGTACCAAAGAATAACCGCTACCTTTGATTTCGAAATTAACGAGACGTACAGATTTTGGTAACTGCAATTTAAATTTATATTAAAATTTTAACATTTAACAATAATTGCATACAATTTACCTCATGTTGTTGTAAAACTAAAGCATTATCTGGATTTACCGAAAACTCATTGATTTTCTTTTCATTTCCTTCGTGATCTTGAGCTGAGTAGGATATTTTCAAATCCCAATTGCTTTCATTGTTAAATTTCTGACTAAATCTCACTAAGGCCTCAAGACCCACCACTGTATCATGGGTAGATTTAAAACCACCTTGCTGATTACGTTGCTTAATCAACCACTTTACTATAGGCAAATGATTACCGGGAGCATTTAGAAGAGTCATTAAAACATAAGCTGTCGTCTCGACATCATTTGTATTATCCGTCCACCACATGAGACCTTTTTCGTCTTCTTTACGCATGCTTTGAATTTTCTCTATAACTTTATCGCTACTTGGATGTTTGGCTTTACTTAATGCAGTTCCTATAATGGAGAGCGCATAAATATCATAGATATCATCCAAATCGGAGGTTACATAGTCAAGTCCTTTTCGTATAACAGTTTGATATTTACGGGAATATCTCTGAAATAATTAAGTTAAAGTTTTAATAATCTTATGATTGAAAACGTATTAGGGAATCTATCCAATGCTTACTCTATCCTCCATAAATGTCAACAGTACAAACGCCGTAAAACTATAGGTATTTTGTAGTTCCTTATAAAATAAATAACCGGTATAGGGAAATTTACCATCGAACCATTGTTGATTTGCCAAATATTCCAAACCACTATCAATTATACGAGATTCAATTGCTATATATTTCGAAGCCTTAATCAAGAAACGCACTACATAAGCCGTAAGCCAGTTGCTAGCTTCTTTATCTGAATTTTCACCAAAAACACTATAACCGCCATTTTTATGGCGGAACGATAGTTCTTGCTGATAACCTATTTCTATATAATTTTTAGCTTTACTGACTAGATTCTTCTCTTTTGAGTATTTTCCATTGGCTTTTAGATAATCTAAAATCAATATATTGGGAGCAAAATTCACCATATTTTGTTCACCACAACCGGTAGGCATTTTGATCAATTCATTAAGATTCTCTAGCGAAGGAATAATAAAATCTCCACCCACAGAAAGTGTTATATACTCAGAATCTCTGACACTATCTAATGGTATATCTAAAGTTAGCGATGACATTTCCGTTGTAGCGCTCAAATAAATCGCCTTATTTTGATACTGTGTAATACCTTCGGGTAAAACTTTTAGTTTTTGTACTATACCGTCATTATATAACGAATTATTGGCTGCTATACGCAATTCTATGTTTCCTACTTCTAAGGGTTTAATCAGAAATTTGACTGTTGTGCCACCATTTGAGGGAATATTAATGGTTTTTAATTGTTGTTGTCTAGGGGAGAATTTCGATAAAGGTTCCATAAATCGAAATTGCATGTTATTATTGTATAGTATGACATCAGTGTCCAGAGATTGATTGTGATAATTGAAAATGGTTACTGGGATGACAACAGTTTCTTCTCTTTTCACCGAATAGGGCAGATTAAGTGTAATAAAAAATGGCAAAAATGTAGTTATATCGGTGGGTCCATCGACTATGCCAAAACCTGTCATATCATTATTAGAAAATGCTGTTATACGCCAAGTAGTTATAGTCTCCGGTATGTTGAGAGTTATTTGAGTATCTGTGTTATTACTGGAAAGAAAGACGGAAGTGTATCGTAAGAGGGTAATAATTTTCTATATGGATTACGTACATTATATAGTTTTCAAATATCCAAGTTTCTGGAAATTTTGTACGAAATATTAAAGGTCCAGCACCAGCACTAGATACAATGTTTGGATCTTAAATTAAACAAATAAATTAAAGAAATGAAATGATATTTTTAATCATTATGTAACCTACAGACAGTTTTAACTGGATAATGTGCATTTGTAAGAGTTATAAGTCCAGATATAATACCCGGTCTCACTATATAAGCATTGGGAATATACGAAACATCCACCTTTAAATCTTCTAATATTTGCGTTTTATATATATCATATTTCTTATCCAATATATAAACACTAAGATCAACTGCCAATATGCTGACATAGGACTTGGGTTGTGCTTTTAGGTTTAAAGTAACCTCTTGACCAGGTTTTACTTGTTTGGGAGCTGTTATTGAAATCTTCCGTACACACAAATCAAAAATTAATGTTAATAATTAAATATATTATATCTTACCTGATTTTCTAATTCCAAAGGAAAATTTAAAACCAATTCTTCATATCTGAAATTACCATTTTGTATATAGTGAACATATAAAAAAGATTTCGGAACAAGTTCAATTGAAGGAGTTATCATAAGCGTATATGTTTTTCTATTTGGTGAAAGTTTTATAAGACCCGTTTGGACTATGCTGCCATGCCCTACTATGGTATATACAAAATATGGTATAGTAAAGGATGAGCGGACTTCTACTTTAACCGGTTTTCCGAGAACAGGTCTGTAATATATGAATGTAATAAAAATATGATATGAATCTCCTTTTGTAAATAATTATCCTACCTTTCTTTCAATGTTAATCTACAATAAATGAGTTTCTCGTTATAAGAGATACTTTCATCTGCTACAAAAATATTTGGCAATGTTTGTTGTGAATCCTTAAATTTCACCGTATAAGAAGCATCAGGCTGTTGATCAAATTGAAATACTGCCACACCTTTGTCATTTAAATATGTTTGATATTTCTTAACACCATGTTGCAATATAACGGGGGGTACTTTGATCCCATACCGGTCCACCATTCCATTCTTCAATATAAGCTCTCAAACGAAATGGTTTATTATTACGAAATTCAATCTCATCATCCGGTATAAGTATTTTATAACTTTCTTTACGTATTGCAATTGTTTGCGTATAAGTCCGCCATATACCGGTGTGTTTTTCTTCAAGCTTAGCCCATAAGACTACAGAATTAACTCCCGTAAGTTTGTTTGAATGTTCTAAGTCAAAGTCTACTACAACTAAACCATCTATATGTAAAACCTTTTCTTCAATCAAATCATTGCTTCCCTGTACATGTAACTGAACGGTTAGAAAACCTTTCACATATCTATCGAATGTATATTTTCCATAGATTTCCGCTATAACGTGAGGATCTAAAGGTATTACATTTTCTGGAGTATCTACGAATATATCGAATTTTGGTAAAGTATACTGTTGTATCTTAATTTTTTTGGACTTTTGATATGAATATTTTCCACTTATTGTTGTTCTTATTTCCCAATCTCCCATCACTGGCTGCTGAGACAATTGAAATTTCCCGGTAAAGACTCCTTTAGTAAGGGTTATGTCTTTGAATTGTTTAACACGATTTGTATCACTATCCTAAAAATTAAAGATGTATATTAAATACAAATATAAATTCAACTAACAAAATAAAACTTCAACTTACAAATATCTCAATACGTATAGGTTCTCTTATATACACTGGTCTCGTATGTTCATCCAATATAACAACACGAAATTGTACCAAATCTAAAGGTTTATACACCGACTTATCGGTTTGTACGTAAATTTTTGGACCCGCAGAACTATCAATTAACAATACACTTTGATTTCTAAATCCACAAGCTCCCATACCCTCTGCCAACAATGCGTAGTTACCATTTTCCAATTTGGGTGGGAAAAAATCAATTTCCTTCGATTCAAACGGTTGCAACAGAACATTATCTGTAGCATTATAAGAACGACCCATAATAGAAACGCGTATAGTGCAGGGCGTAGTAGAATCATGAAGTGTTACAGCTATAGTATATTTGCGATTTGATTTCATTAAACCTGGAGCAATTATGCTATAATAACTGGAATTGTATTAAAATCAATTAATATATAAAACATTAAAATAATTGTTTTTTCACTACTTTTCACCAACTATGAATGCCATACATTGCAGCAGTATGAAATATTGATGAATCGTATAGAGTTTCATATTTAGATCTTTATGATTTCTTTCCGTATCATACACAACACAACTGGTTGTATTCGCTGAGAATGTAAAACTGATGCAAACTTGTTTGGTGGCAAATTGAAGATGATAGTGGACTGATCACATTTAGGGCCACATAACCCGTTAATAAGCTTACATACATTTTGTATACAAAGGCTAACTACAGACATTCAGTATCCTTAGATTTCTATAATTTCGAACTTTGTTTTTATGTGGTTCTTCGACAGCAGCAGCTCTTATAATCAAGATGTAATATTGTTAATAAACTATACATGCTGGTGGTGTTTATATAATTCCTAGTAAAAATATCCGGTATCCCTACATCCACTGTTAAGTATGCCAACCTACTTAGAATAATTTTCTGGGACAAAGATGCCATGTCTGTCCGTTTATACTTTGTCCGCCCGTGAAAACTTTGCAATCAAAGTACAGGTTAAAAAAAAATTGGATAAACTTTTGTAGTGATGGGTTCATAATTGACAAAAGTCCCCATACAAAATTCCTTTACGGAAATGATTTTAACCTCCATAACTGATTTCTAAAGAATAATATCGCCTTAAGATTCGCCATTAATAAGATCATTTACATAAATCGTACAATCGATATAAATAAAAACCAACTTTACGATTTGGAGGATTCTAGCTCTGAACTGCAAGTTCAACCATTTTTTGCAAACGTTAATGTTAATCATGTAAAATTTGAAAATTCTAACACTAATTATCATGTAAAACTCAACATCCAGCACAGAGTCATGTACATCCTACTTATAATGGCCATATCTTGCAACAAAGCGAGGCTCATGAACATATGGACATGCTAAGATTTTAAACATATTACCTCCAATCTTGAACCAACCATCCGACTATATTACATACACACACACGAACTTTGATAGAGTTTTCAAAGTCAGAGTCCCTTCCAGGAGCGAGTGGTGTAGGAGTAACATACCGATCGAATATACCACCAGAATCTTTACAGATGATTCTAAAATCAATTGTGGTGTTGGTTCTTGTGTCTTCTGTGAAGAAGTATATATATCTCACCGTCTTCCCAAAACATCTGTAGTGGCTTTAAGGCTCAAAATATTTGCAATAATGTCTGCTTGTAGTGTACTACATGGCCTCAAGGCTGAGTCGCCTGTCTGACATTACCCTTGTTTGAGTCCCTGTGCATAGGGACTATTATGGAAATGATTAGGCAGATGAACTTGCTAGTTTCAGTATAGGTTTTATCAAGACCCTGGCGAGATATCTGGGTCTAAGCTTAATGATGTCCCACGGCTGCAGGCTGAATCTAATACTATACAATACTACATCTAACGAGTGAAGTGGAGTCCTGTCGACTCTACTTGACTGTTTGCACGCAATTCCTCTATTAGTTTCCCAGATGTACGAATTTTTGTATTTAATTTATATGGGAGTAGATACCAGGATTATTCTGTGCTGAATCTGAATCTGGCCTCAGAATTTCTGCATCCAAATTTATACTATAATATCTCGAATTAGGGAGAATTTGTGTATAATAGATGTGAACATTTATTTCAATGGCGATAGATTGGACTTTCAGACGATATAACAAATTTTATAAATAAAGGTGCATTCGTACTGTAATAGCTGCTCAAATTTGGCCAAAACTATTTGTTTGCACAAACCTTTCGTAATGTATGTATACTTTTGGTCTTTGGGTTTCGACTATTATTTAATTTTGTTGGCTTAATAATTTAGTAGTAAACCTGACGAACTTAAAACCATTTGATGCAACAAGGACAGAATTAAAAGTATGAGTGAGAGAAACCCATAACGACTCATGGAATAATAAAACGGTGATTAGAATCACAAAGATCTTATGTGGAGATCCTAACGAGAAGCCTTCTCGAAATGAGCAAGTCATACAAATATCTTGGGAGCAATATTATTCCAGATATAATATCCTTCACGAACACTAATTTGAAAATTTTTTAGGAATTACGTTCAGGAAACTAAGTTTCTGAACATCGGACACACATTCAGTGAATGCTTTATTATAAGTTTTTGTTTCATAAAAATGAGCGCACAATATACCCGATAGTGGTCTAGGTGTATTTCTTCGTATTTGATGTAGATACATCCTCCTCGAGATATTGGTTATAGACCCACAAAAGTATATATATTCTGGGCCCTTATTAAATTCTAAGACGATCTAGCCATGTCCGTCCGTCCGTCTGTTTGTCTGTTGAAGGCACCATAGAGACTGAACGGAAAGAGCTAGGGAACTGAAATGCAGTTTGTTTGGTATTGAAAATGGGTAATATCGGTCGATGTTTTCACCTAGCCCCATACAAGTGTCCCCTCGGAATACAGTGTAACCAGACAATAACTGTTATAAAAGACCGAATATAAAGACTAAATTCGTCATAAATTAGTTTCGTATGACCAAAAATCTCCCTTCCAAATTTTATAAGGAACGGCTCATAATTGACCCTACCCCCCATATAAGGTTCCCTTTCGAAAATGACTTTAACGCTCATTACTGACTTAAATAAACGAATATAGCAACGAAATTCGTCATAAATAAATTTCATATGACCCAAAATCTTTATACAATTTTTTATCAGGATCGGTCCATAATTGACCCCACTCCCTATATAGGTCCCCTTCCGAAAATGACTTTAACGCTTATTACAGATCTCAAAATACGAGTATAGCGATAAGTTTAATATGAGCCAAATCTTTCTACCAAATTGTATAGGAATCGGTTCATAATTGACCCTACTACCCATATAAGGTCCTCTTCCGAAAATGACTTTAACGCTTATTACTGATTTTAAAATTCTAGATGAAATTCGACATAAAAAAGTTTCATATGACCCAAAATCTCTCTACTAATTTTATAAGGATCGGTACATAATTGACCCTGCCGCCCATTTTAGGTCCCCTTCAGAAAATGACTTTAACGCTCAATAAAAATGGATTAAAAATACAATTATACCGATGAAATTCTTTACGAGCCAAAAACTTTCTATCAAATATAATGAGGATCGTTCAAAAATTGCCCCCAAAAATTGCTCAGAACTAGTACGAGTACAGCGAAGAATTTCGACATAGGCAACTTTTATAGGAACGTTCATATTTGAACATACCCCTCATATATAAAGCCACTTTAAGAAAGTTTTATAGGAACACAAGTCTTCATTTCGAAAAATCAGACATAAGCCCCTGATGTTTATAGGAGATTATTCCTTTTATGCTATACGGTTTGATGGTGTATATATAAGATTCGGCATAGCCGAATATAACACTCTTACTTGTTATATATCACCATCAAAAAAGATGGTATAAATTGATTTTGTCAATTTTTGTGGACCAAAAAATGTACAAGTAAGAAGTCTATATTCGCCTTTGCCGAATCTTATATACCCTTCACAACAATGTGTTTAAAAAAAGATTAAACTTCTCGAAACAGCATTAGTGAAGATTTGAATATCGAAGATATCTGGGTTCTTCAGAAAATTGGTTTCAACAGACGGACAGGCGGACATACAGACAGACAGGTAGACGGATATTGATTTTATCAACGTAATGATTTATACATACATGTGTTATTTATGCCAACCGTAGTGTGCAGCATGCGAAGAAACTAATCTTACATTGAAAAACTGGTTTTAAAAGAATGAAAAAATTTATAATAACCGGTCAAAAAATAACAATAATAAAAAAGCAAATAAACTTGAACTTAAAGAAACTGGCAGTTATTTATAGGAATGTAAAATAAAACGGAAAGTGTATTTGTATATTATAGCATTTTTATTGATAAACTTAGAACAACAAGAAAGTGTAGTCGAGCATGACAAACCACCTTACACTGGTTATGAGTATATTTATTGCATTCCAACAAAATTTAAGCAATTTATTTCAGAATCTAAATTGTTGAGGGTATAGCTTTTAGGTATAAGTTGTGATTTAAAAGTTCGACTTAAAATAAAGGACAAATTTAGCGAAATTTTTTCATACATAGTTGTTTTAAATTTTAGGTTAGGATATATATCAGGGGTTTTATATAGGACCTTCGGACGGCAAAAAAAGGCGGTCGAGGTGAATAGTTTGTGTAATACTATATTTCAACTTCGACCCGCCATTTTTAGAGCAACTTTTTTGAAAACAAGTGAGACTGTTATATTCGGCTGTGCCGAATCTCATATACCCACCATCAAACCGTATGCCTTAAAAGGATATTACTCATCAAATTAACTGATAAGGACCTTATATGAGAAATAGGCTTAATAATTGACCATTTTTCATTTTTAGATCAATTTTGGTTCATACAAAACATCTTTACATCGAATATCACTTCCTAACACTTTCCGCATGAAATTGGGTAGAAAGATTTATGTTCCTATAAATGTTTTTTATATAAAATTTCATAACTGTTCACGCATTTTTAAGTCAGCAAAGATCGTTAAAGTAATTTTCTTATGGACCGATCCTCAATACATTTGGTAGAGAGGTAAAAAATATGTATGTGTGTCGAATTTTATCGCTTTTCTGTATTCTGTATTTATAAGCCAGTAATTATCGTTTGTCATTTTTTGAAGGGCACCTTATATGGGGTCAATTATGAACCGATACACATAAAGTTTGATAGAGAGATTTTTGCATCATTGAAACTTATGTGTGTCGAATTTCATCACTATACTCGTATTTTTAAGCCAGTAAAGAGCGTTAAAGTCATATTCTGAAGCGGACCTTATATGGGGGGTAGGGTCAATTATGGACCGATCAACATAAAATTAGGTATAGAAGGTTTTGATCATAACAGACTTACTTATGTCAAATTTCATTGTTATGCTAGTATTTTTAAGCAAGTAATGAGTGTTAATCAAATTTTCTGAAGGGGGACTTATATGGAGGGTAGGGTCAATTATGGACCGATCCTCATAAAATTTGGTAGGGAGATTTTGGATCATATGAAACTTATGTGTAATGAGCGTTAAATTAATCTTCTGAAGGGGACCTTATATGGGGGTTGGGTCAATTATGGAGCGATCGACATAAAATTTTGTAGAGACGTTTTAATCATCAAATTTCATTGTTATACTAGTACTTTTAAGCCAGTAATGAGCGTTAAACCAATTTTCTGAAGGGGCCTTATATGGGGGGGTAGGGTCAATTATTTACCGATCCTCATAAAATTTGGTAGGGAGATTTTGGGATCAAATGAAACTTATTTATTTTCATCGCTATATTCGTACTTTTGAAACAGATATGCCCATTAAAGCTGTTTTTCGGGGGTCCAATTGTATGGGGGCTATCCGAAAACGTGGACCGATATTGCCCATTTTCAATACCAAACAAACTTTACCTATAGAGAATATTTGTGAAAAATCAATCCTCTATCTCGCTCCGTTCGGACTCTATCGTGCTTTCAACAGACAGACAGACATCTTTTTTGATGGTGGGTATAAAAAGGTACAAATTCTTGGGATTTGATACGACAAAAACTTGATTAAACTTCAATTAAACGATTTATTAAATAAAATAGTAACATATTTATAAACGCTCTATAAACTATAAAATACCGTATTTGAACGACTTAAATTGTAATAATCATACATTATAATGGCAGCCGGTTTTGGCATTAAAATTTCATTTATTTTATATGCTGGAACTTCTAAGCAATGAGTTAGATTCGCCTCCAATTTCTTTAAATATAAAATAACTGTTGATTCGGAATTTTTTGTTTCAATTAACTGCACAATATTGTTGTTATTTAAATCAGCACTCTTTTCTGCCTCAGATCGAAAACCCGTAGGTAAATTTGCTTCCATTATCACCATATGGGTGACATCGTTAAGTGGTTCTGTGTACGTTTGGTAACTAAAACAAATCTCCAAATTTAATTCTTCGACATTTTTTAATATTGGCTTGGGCTGTATATTAAAATGGCAAAATTCCTGAGCTTTAGCGATATTGTATTGATGGTTGAGTTGCACCAAAGTGGCCCCATTGCCCTGGATTTCGAAAGTAATATGGCGTGTGTTTGTTGGTAGCTGGAATTGGGGAAAGGTTATTGTTATTTGTGCTATCTAGAGCCATTTATAAAATGTTTATACCTCATGCTTTTGAAAATCCAAAATATTATTTGAATCCACATAGAATTTATCTGCTGCCACTTCCATACCTTTTCATTTTTAGCACTGTAGGAAATTTGCAAATGTATATTTTCAAGATTTTTGTATGTTTCAGAAAATTTCACCAAAGCCTCCATGCCCGCTACAGTATCGTATGAAGAGGTAAAACCTCCATTAGCATTACGTTGTTGTATAAGCCATTTTAAGATAGAAGTGTGATCTCCTGCGGTTTCAAGTAGAGTTATTGCAGCACATGATGTAATTTCAATATCATTAGCTAAATTCTGATCATTTTCTGACCACCATTTGAGTCCATTATTTTCTTTGGCATGTGATTTTAGTTGATTTATAAGAATATTAGCATTTTGATCTTTGGCATGCTTTATAGCAATTGCCATTAAGGACAGGGCATACATATTGTTCGTATTATTTAAATTTGAATTTAAGAACTCTAATCCTTTTTGTATGGTTTCTTGATATCGAATGGCATATTTCTAAAAAAAATAATGGGTTAATAAACTAAAGAAACAACTCTTTTTAATAAAAATTAATTACTTGACTTTCTAAAAACGCTAAGAGTACAAAGGCTGTAAGACCATATTCATTTTGATGATTTGGATTTAGTAAATAGCCGGTGTAAGGAAATTCTCCATTTGATTTTTGTTCTCCGGCTAAATAATCCAATGCAGTTTCAATTATTGTCTCTTCGATTGCTAAAAATTGTGAAGCTTTTATAAAGTAACGCACCACATAGGCGGTAAGCCAAGTATTAGGCTCCTCATCGGTTGAAATACCGAAGACGCTATAGCCACCATTATCATGACGAAATGACAGCTGCTGTTGGTAGCTAACTTCTATAGAAGAAAGTAAACTATCAACCAAAGTCTTCTCTTTAGAAAATTTACCATTTGCTTTAAGATATTGCAAAATTAAGACACTGGGAGCAAAATTTACCATATTTTGCTCACCGCAACCAGTGGGCATTTGTATTAGATCATCGAAATTCTCCACTGTTGGTACTAAATAATGACCACCTACAGAGAAAGTAAAATAGTCTGAATCGGGTACACTATCCCCGGGCACTTTCACGCTAAATGATGATGAAATTTTTTCTCCCGCTGGAATACTTAAGTATAGAGCCTGATTTTTTTGTTTGGACACACCTTCCGGTTCCACTTTAAGTTCTGTTGAATGGCATCTGTGTACAAGGAATTTGAGGCAGTAGCTTTTAAACTAACATCACCCACTTTTGTTAGGTATATAAGAAATTTTACCGTTTTGGCCTTATCTTTCGGTACACTAATTTGTTCAATTTTGCGTTGGCTATCATTTGATTCTTTTACGCCTAGCATTTCCGAGTCAATGAAATAGAATTCTTGATCGTTATTATGTAGCACTACTTCGGTGTATAGGGTCTGGTTAGAATAATTGAATATTGTTATGGGTACCGTACCACCACGTTTCACTGAATATGGAAGATTTAATGTTATGAAGAAGGATTGTATGGTAGTGATATCGGTAGGCGCATCTACTATAGCGAATCCTGTTACATCGTTATTTGAAAATGCCGTTATACGCCAAGTTGTTATAGCTTCGGGTATTGGTAGAGTTAATTTGGTGTCAGTTTCATTACTGAAAAAAGAAAAGAGTTATTTTCCTCAACATGTGAATTTTAAAACAAAACTCCTAGAATAAACCATTGATAACTTTCTTAATCGTGTTAATGTTATTAGTTAGTTAGTTAGTTAGTTAGGTAGTTAGTTAGTTAGTTAGTTAGTTAGTTAGTTAGTTAGTTAGTTAGTTAGTTAGTTAGTTAGTTAGTTAGTTAGTTAGTTAGTTAGTTAGTTAGGTAGTTAGTTAGTTAGTTAGTTAGTTAGTTTAGTTAGTTAGTTAGTTAGTTAGTTAGTTAGTTAGTTAGTTAGTTAGTTAGTTAGTTAGTTAGTTAGTTAGTTAGTTAGTTAGTTAGTTACTTAGTTAGTTAGTTAGTTAGTTAGTAGTTAGTTAGTTAGTTAGTTAGTTAGTTAGTTAGTTAGTAGTTTGTTGTTTGTTTGTTTTGTTGTGTTGTTTGTTTTGTTTGTTTGTTTGTTGTTTGTTTGTTGTGTTTGTTTGTTTGTTTGTTGTTGTTTGTTTGTTTGTTTGTTTGTTTGTGTTTGTTGTTTGTTTGTTTGTTTGTTTGTTGTTGTTTGTTTGTGTGTTTGTTTGTTTGTTTGTTTGTTGTTGTTTGTTTGTTGTTGTTTGTTGTTTTGTTTGTTGTTTGTTTGTTTGTTTGTTTGTTTGTTGTTTTGTTTGTTTGGTTTGTTTGTTTGTTTGTTGTTTTTTGTTGTTTGTTTGTTTGTTTGTTTGTTTGTTTGTTTGTTTGTTTGTTTGTTTGTTTGTTTGTTTGTTTGTTTGTTTGTTTGTTGTTTGTTTGTTTGTTTGTTTGTTTGTTTGTTTGTTTGTTTGTTTGTTTGTTTGTTTGTTTGTTTGTTTGTTGTTTGTTTGTTAGAAGAGAACACTACCAAGTAAACCTGCAGGCATCCCCAAATTATACTTACATTACTAACTCATTAAATATCCACGTTTCAGGAAAATGTTCACGGTACTTATACATAGTCTGGAGAAAAGTTTTGGCACGCCCTCCATCTATTATCATGCATATTATACACATTTTTTTTAACTTTCATATCGAATAACAAAATAACTTACCACTTAAACGTTGAAATGTATAATGAGCATTTGTTAAAGTCACCAGACCTGACATTATTCCGGGATAGACTGAGGCAGCTATTGGAGAATATGACCTTACACTGACCAAGTGTTTTATTATTTCACCTTTATTTAAATCATATGTTTTATCCAAAACAGATATACCCAAATCCACCGCCAATAAACTAACATACGACTTGGGTTGGGCATTTATAGAAATTGTTACCTCTTCGCCCGGTTTAACTTGTTTGGGTGCTGACAATGTGATCTAAAATTTATAAATTTCAAAGAATTTTAAATTGTATTTATAAATATATTAATATTAAACTTTTTATTTATACCTGATTTTCAAATTCATGGGGAAAATTTAAATGTATTTCTTCATAACGTAAATTGTTTTTATGAACGTAATACACATAGACAAAGGAATCGGGTATCATGTCAATTGAAGCTGTTATATTTATAACATAAGACTTTTGATTTGGTGGTAATTTAATATGTTCCATATTTATTATACTGGCATGACCCATTATTATATATGTCAAATAAGGTATACTGATAATTGAGCTGACTTCAATAAGTACCGGTTTTCCAAGTTTTAATCTAAAATAATGAGCAAGGCCGCAGATAAATATAATCATATTTATATCTTAATGTTTGAAAGTGGTACTACTTACTTTTCATCCACCAATCTCAAGCGACAGTAGTATTCCCTATTATTCAACATTAAATTTTCATTTGAATAAATATTAGGCAACATTACTTTGGTATCTTTAAACTGAAATCTGTGATCGTCATTTGCATCATGTTCAAACTCAAATATTGCTGCTCCATTTTCATCTAAAAATGATTCATAAGTTTTATTGCCATGTTCCATGGTTATGGGAGTCTTATGGTCCAATACAGCTGCTCCCGTCCAATGTTTAACCAAAACCTTCAGTCTATAAGGTTTATTATTTTCAAATTCAATATCATTGTCTGGTATTTGCAAATTATAACGTTGCTGATGTAAATAAATATATTGATAATTTGATTCAGTTCTACTCGTGCTTTTTTCGCTTAATTTCGCCTTGACTTTTAGTCGTTTTGCATTATTAATGGTGGTTTCGTTCTTTATATTAAACTCAACAAAACCTAAATGTTCTATATCAATATGTTTGGTTTGTAATTTAACTTTTTCATGCCATAACTCTACTGTGGCATTGCCTTCGACATGTTTATAAAATGTATATTTTCCAAAAATAACTACCTTAATGTAACCATCTTGCAGAATAACATGCGAAGGTGTTTTCAGATATACGCTGAATTTTGGTAGAACATAGTTATCTATTTGAATATATTTGAAACTTGAGTAATCATAACTTCCACATAGAACCACTTTTATTGACCAAGTTCCTAAAACTGGATATTTGGACAACTTTAATTTGCCGGTATAAACTCCTGTCTTAAGAGAGACGTTTCGAAACTGTTTAACACGATTATTTTCATCATCCTGTAAATATATAAGAATTTCATCAGTTTTGGTTGTTCAGAAATAGTGTTCATATTTCGCAAAAACGTTCTAACGCAAAAACTAACTAACTAACTAACTAACGCAAAAACTAACTAACTAACTAACTAACTAACTAACTAACTAACTAACTAACTAACTACTAACTAACTAACTACTAACTAACTAACTAACTAACTAACTAACTAACTAACTAACTAACTAACTAACTAACTAACTAACTAACTAACTAACTAACTAACTAACTAACTAACTAACTAACTAACTAACTAACTACTAACTAACTAACTACTAACTAACTAACTAACTAACTAACTAACTAACTAACTAACTAACTAACTAACTACTAACTAACTAACTAACTAACTAACTAACTAACTAACTAACTAACTAACTAACTAACTAACTAACTAACTAACTAACTAACTAACTACTAACTAACTAACTAACTAACTAACTAACTAACTAACTAACTAACTAACTAACTAACTAACTAACTAACTAACTAACTAACTAACTAACTAACTAACTAACTAACTAACTAACTAACTAACTAACTAACTAACTAACTACTAACTAACTAACTAACTACTAACTAACTAACTAACTAACTAACTAACTAACTAACTAACTAACTAACTAACTAACTAACTAACTAACTAACTAACTAACTAACTAACTAACTAACTAACTAACTAACTAACTAACTAACTAACTAACTAACTAACTAACTAACTAACTAACTACTAACTAACTAACTAACTAACTAACTAACTAACTAACTAACTAACTAACTAACTAACTAACTAACTAACTAACTAACTAACTAACTAACTAACTAACTAACTAACTAACTAACTAACTAACTAACTAACTAACTAACTAACTAACTAACTAACTAACTAACTAACTAACTAACTAACTAACTAACTAACTAACTAACTAACTAACTAACTAACTAACTAACTAACTAACTAACTAACTAACTAACTAACTAACTAACTAACTACTAACTAACTAACTAACTAACTAACTAACTAACTAACTAACTAACTAACTAACTAACTAACTAACTAACTAACTAACTAACTAACTAACTAACTAACTAACTAACTAACTAACTAACTAACTAACTAACTAACTAACTAACTAACTACTAACTACTAACTAACTAACTAACTAACTAACTAACTAACTAACTAACTAACTAACTAACTAACTAACTAACTAACTAACTACTAACTAACTAACTAACTAACTAACTAACTAACTACTAACTAACTAACTAACTAACTAACTAACTAACTAACTAACTAACTAACTAACTAACTACTAACTAACTAACTAACTAACTAACTAACTAACTAACTAACTAACTAACTAACTAACTAACTAACTAACTAACTACTAACTAACTAACTAACTACTAACTAACTAACTAACTAACTAACTAACTAACTAACTAACTAACTAACTAACTAACTAACTAACTAACTAACTAACTAACTAACTAACTAACTGACTAACTTACTAACTAACTAACTAATTAAAATCGATATCATTTAGCCTTGAGAAATGTAGCGTGCGTAGGAGGTTTGCATGGACAGACAGACGCACGTAGCTAAATCGACTCAAAAAGTTTTTCTGAACCGATTGCTATACTTTAGGGTGAGTGTAGGACCAATATTTCTGACTGTTACTAACATCAGCTCCCCACTAAAGTGGTGTAATCATGTAATGTATAACTATGGAGAAGGGTATATAAGATTCGGAACAGCCGAATATAGCATTCTTACTTGTTAGGATCCGATTTGTCATAATATGACAAAAATGTTCACTCGTGTAATTTAATGCGCATTTCTTATAAAAATTTTATAAAGAAATACTTTTTTTGTGAACCAACAAAATTTGTAAAAAATGGAAATTTTTCTAAAAACAATTGTTCACATCAAGCTAAAGATGCAACTTTTTGATTTTCTCTTGATAAGAACTTACCAATATCTCTACATGAACAGGTTCTGTAATATTTAACGGTCTCGTATGTTCATCCAAAATTACAATACGAAAATTAACCACATCTTGAGGTTTATAGATGCCCTTATCAGTTTGTATGAAAATTTTTGGACCATAACTTGTGTCAACGTGTAAACGACTTGAATTTTTAAAACTGCAATCAGATAAACCTTCAGCACTTAAGGTATAATCTCCACTTGAGATTCTTTTCGGCATAAAATTCAACAATTTAGATTCAAATGGTTCCAAGTTAACATCTTGATATTCTTTAAATCCTGGTCCATCAACACCTACTCGTATCGAACAAGGACCACTTGCTTCGTGGAGTGTAACAATAACTGAATATTTGTGATTCGATTTAATAACACCCGGAGCATTTATGGAATAGTAACTGGTAAAAAAAAATAATTTGTTAAATGTTTTATTCGATATTTTAGCTAAATATTAGTACTTTTCTGAAGATACTGCTAATACCATATACAGCAAAAATAGGTACAGATTGATGAAAAAAGGTTGCATTTCATTAATTATTTTGCGTAAATTTTTAATTGTAGTTACTTTGCCGTCTCATAACTTCTTTCTTTCATTGAGAATAAATAACTAAAACAAATATTTGAAAATTAAACAAATATTATACAAATTCTTCATTGTTATTAATATAATAAAATACCAGTTTAAAGCTTATTTTAAATTAAATACGTTACACATAATCTTGCATTTATTGGGCAAAATTTCTATATATTTATACAATTATGTACTTTTATATATAACTAGCTATACCCAGTGTGCTTTGCTACCCTAAAAGGAATATGTATAAATAAATACCAGATTTATTATATGTTACATATGAAAGATGTCAAGCAAATTATTGCAAGTTCGCCAGTTTCTATCTATCGCCAATTTCTATCTATTTACAAAAAATTTGAATAATATAAGAGTTTCCAAGATGCACGAAATTTTGTATTTAATTCATATATGTGGTGCCAAGCCCCCCGTTGAAAGTCCGCCCGTTATTCTCTAAATGTTCACATGAATGTCAAAGTTCTTCATGTAAAATTTGAAGATTCTAGCTCTAATAGTTTCTCAGATATACGAATTTAATTCATGTGGGGGCTTCAAGCCCCCCGGATGAAAGTCCGCCCTTTTTCCTCCAAAATATTCAGATGATTATTAAAATAATTTGTTCAAAATTTGAAGAATCTAGTTCTATTAGTTTCCCAGTTAAACGAAATTTTGTATTTAATTCATATGGGAGGTACCAAGTAACCCATTGGAAGTCCGCCCGTTATACTCTAAATGTTCAGGTGAATGTCAAAGTTCTTCAAGTAAAATTTAATGATTCTAGCTCTAATTGTTTCTCAGATATACGAATTTTCTATTTTATTCATATGGGGGCTCCAAGCCCCCCAGATGAAAGTCCGCTCTTTTTTCCTTAAAAATGTTCAGATGAATATTAAAGTTCTTCGTGCAAAATTTTAAGAATTTAGTTCTATTAGTTTCCCAGATAAACGAATTTTTGTTTTTAATTAATATGGGAGGTGCCGCTCCTCTCATGGGTAGTCCGCCAATTTTTTACCCAAAATGTTTATATGGGTGTTAAAGTTCTTTGTGCAAAATTTTAAGAATTTAGTTCTATTAGTTTCCCAGATAAACGAATTTTTGTATTTAATTAATATGGGAGGTGCCGCTTCCCTCATGGGTATTCCGCCAATTTATTACCCAAAATGTTTATATGGATGTTAAAGTTCTTCGTGCTAAATTTTAAGAATTTAGTTCTATTAGTTTCCCAGATAAACGAATTTTTGTATTTAATTTATATGGGAGGTACCACGCCCCCTAATTCTAGTCCGCCTACTTTTTGTCCTAA